GGATCCCTCTTCCGTACCAACCAGGAAGAAAGTCGGATCGGCCTGCGGGAACGCCATACACGTGGGACTCATGTCTTCAGTCCTGGACGGATGGGGGGCAATAAGTGTAAGGTTCTCTTGAGGCTGGGCAAGCATGTCAATACTCCAGCCGCACATGTGGCCATCTGTTGAGCATGATATGATGTTGTTGGCGTTCTGCGTGCCAATGATATCGATACAGTAAACAGGATGTGTGTGTCCGGAACCTGTGAGGGGCGTCTTTTGTACAGGCGCTGACCTAGCGCGCGTGTCCCAGAGCAGAACTTGTCCACTGTAGGCTCCGCCGATAATCAGGTTAGGGTGAAAAGGAGAAAACTTGGCCGTTAAGATGTCGGATTGCGCATGGAACACAAACTCGGGCCTATCGTGCAAATGCATATTCCAGACCTGCACGATTCCATCTGGGTCATGGGGTGCCGAGGGGTTCTTGGTGTATGATGCCAGGAGTAGTTCACTGAACTTGGGCGAGAAGTCAATGGAGCTGATCATGCGCTTCTTGGACCACCGCTCGTCATAGAACTGGGCCAATTCCTTCACCTTCCGCCGACCCTTCCCGCCCGTGTTCCCGTTCTGTTCGTCTTCTTCATCGACATCGTTTACGCCGAGGGTATAGTCCGTCAAAATATCGTATTCCTGGTCGAGTGCCTTTTCGATAACCTTAGTCGACTTATCGATGAAGTCCATAAAGTCGTCGGATTGCGTAACGGCGTTCAGCTCTTCGTCGGTAAAATTCCTCGTGGGGAAGTTGGCCGCAGCAGACGGCTTGTACACTCCATCTATGACGAGTTCCTTGGCCGCTTTCAACTCCTGCTCGATCTCCTTTCTTATGTTCTCGCGTAACTCTTCTTCGCGATCCCGTAACCTCCTGCTGACCCTAGTCTTAGTGGGCGATGCAGGCGGTTCGTCGATTTCCGAGTCCGAATATCTACGGGGCTTTGGCTGGGGCACCCAATCGTCCGTAGTTTGTACTCCTTTGCTGTACGTAAACACTTCCTTTACTGGCGACGGTGGGCATTCGTAAACAGTCGTGAGAGTCGTGGAAAGGACCTGCGTGGTCTGATTTGAAGAAGCAAGTATGGGGCCGAGAGCTGGCGTAGCATATTCCGAGGGCGAGATACTAGTTTCCCCGGCGCTTATTACGCTGTTGGGTCGGCTTCCATGGAGGCGGGGAGAATTTGCGCCGGTTGAGACTGATACGGGTCTGCTTTCGCCAACCAGGCTCTGGATCAGAGTTTCGATCTCACGACGGCTTTCTGCCCTACCGGGCGTTGGGCTGACTATCTGGACAAAAAGAGATCAGCTTTAAAAGCGAAAGAGCAGATATCAAGCAAGGACCATCCACTCACATCGCTTGCGCTTCCTATGCTCAAGCGGGCATTAACCTGAGTAGCACGGAGCTCTCGCTGGCGCTTCAGCTCGGCGAGCTTCGCCTTCTTGGCTATGATCTCATCCCGACGTTGCTGCATCTTTGCAAATCCTACTATTCAGTCCCTGAACAGACTGGTCCCTGAAGTGCCAACTTCTGCTGCCGGCGCAAGCCCTTGAGGGGGCGCAACGCGGGTATCCAGCACCTGGCAAAATGCGGTCGGCTATTTGAAGGGATGCGACCCGTGTGAGGTAGAGCGAGCTTAGAAAGCTTCGTGGGAGGTTGAGGCGGATGTCGCGTTGTCTGATGTGCAGGTGGAGTGGAACAATGGAAAGTGAAGAGGGGCAAAGCTGCTGAGTTGCGACGTGGTGTTATGGCAATGATAAGGCAATGCAGCTAGGTACCTTCAAGAAAAGAGGTTTCAAGTCTAAGAGCGGTGCTGTGTTCCAGACTCTCACGTCCAAGCGCGACGTCCTTTCGTTCCTCTTCGCGGTTGATTGCCGCAAGGAAGGAAAGGGAGGTTGACCAAACAAAAGACAATGGATGGATGTTTCCATTTGGGGGACTGGACTGGCCTCCCGCGCAACGGGATTCAGCACACCTGAGCACTCCCTCCAGCTGCCCGCTGCAGTGGGCGGGCATCCTCTCTTCCACTCACTCCATTCGAGGGTCCAACCTAACTTTGCTTCTGCCAACCGGGGCCCGCCTGCTGCAAAGACACGGGCGGTGGGGTGTTCACCCAGCTTCAATGCACGTGATCGCCACTGCTCCTCGCCGTCGGGCTGCCGTCCCAGGCTCTCCGGCCGTCAGTCGGCAGGCAGAGAGGTCAAGAAGGGCATGTCGTTGATAAAGGTAAGGAAGGTACCTCTAGTCAGTGAGTGCCCGCCCCCCCGGGCTGAATGCCGCACGTGTGGTGAGCCGCGCTGGCGTCCATCCCATATCGCTACGGTCCAGTGGGTGTTCCCGCTAGCGGGTAATGCTGTCAGGGCCAGTCAACCGCTGTGCAGGGAAGCCCGCGTTGGCCGCCAACCCGCCGGAGCAGAGGCGTTCTTGCCGTAAAAACCGGTAAAGAAACAGCTTTTCGCCGGGCAGCCAGTCGGCTGTTAGTAAGATACACTGGTACTGTGGGTAAGGAAGAACGGTGGACGGTCACGGCTGCGAAAATTCCCGAAGCTCCAAAACTTCATTTCGCATCCTGAGCACCGACGTAAACGTCCTACCTTGGAACTTTCCACCCCCTCAACGCTAAACGCTCGCAACTTTTCCCTCGTTCGACCCGACGACGCACCACCCAGGACCCGATTGACCTCCTCAATTGCCGTCCGCCGCATCCCGACCGTCTTCGAGTCCACCTTTTAATTCCCCTTTCCTCCGAACCCCCGAGCGCACCCGGCCTCGCCAAACACCAACTCGTCCAAAAATGTCGTCAAACGCTTCTAAGGCTGGATCCAACGTGAGTTGCACCATCGTTGCCGCCGCCGCCGCCGCCGCCTCCACCAGCACCACAACTACCGCAGTCATGCACTACCCGTCGACTCTGTGACGAGAGGAGGGGGGGAAGGGGCATCTTGTGCGCCTACTGGCTGCCCTTCTTCAAGACACTACGCGGTCACCGTCGCGCATTTCTCGAAAGCTATAGTGGGAAAATCAGAAAATGTTCGGAAGCTAAAAATGGGATATCCCGCAGGTCCTCCGGTACTCGGCCCTCGCCGCCGGTATCTTCTACGGCTTCACCCACCAGAGGTCCATCAGCGCCGCTGAGAAGGCCGCTGCTGCCCAGCGCGAGTACGAGCACAAGCAGGAGCTAATAAACAAGGCCAAGGAGGCCTACGCCAAGTCCAAGCAGCCCGTTTCCGCCGTCTCTACTCCTAGTGGACGTGAGTTCATGCCCGATTTTTTTTTAACGTGATGTGCAGTCCTCCTCCTCCGGATCCGGCGGCCCGCATTATTTACTCGTAACCAAAGCCGGGGGAGGGGGTTCTAGGGGAAGAATGGACTTGCTAACCAGGTGCCTGACTCTGCCCCAAAGAAACAGTCAACCAGGATCCCATGAGCCCCAACTTCGACATCGAGGCCTACTTCAGCGCGCTTCTTGCGAAGGCCTAGATGGGGAAGCCGAGATGAAGTTGTGCACGAAGGACGCATGGAACGAGTTCAAGATAGACGCGCTTCGCATCGCAGGGAGGCAATTATCAAAGGGTTTATTGGGTTTGAACGTCAAAGAAAGGAGCAGGGAAATGGGAACTGCCGAACGAGGATTGTTTAGGAAAAAAATAGAGGAGGGCGTTTACTGATCACCAACTCTCTCTTCCTCCGCCGGTCTGAGGAGGGATGCCAACTGCTGCCTTGGGAAAACGGGAAACGGCCAAGAACGACGACAAACACTGGACACACAAGACAACCACTTCATCAACGATATCCATGAACCCATTCCCTTCCCCCACCAATTCTCACCCCGCAGAATACATGTGGATCACGTATTGCCTTGTACACAAGACAAAGGGATCCCGTGTGAGATTTCACCTGCTGCTGTTTCAAAGACATCTAATGATGTTTAAGCATGGTGTGTATTATTTGCCCAACCTACCACATACATCTAAAAACAAGGATAATTCACTCCAAGACATAGTGACGGTATAAATGTCCTTTTCTTTTCGTTCCTTTCTATTAGACAGACAGACAGACAGGCCTGCATGTTTGGTCAGCCTGTACTTAGTGTACATCACTACTGCAATTAGAGGGCGGACAACAGGCTAAGAGAAATGTATCAGGGTGCTAATGACCGAGAGTTGCTGACGACATTCTCGTCCTTTCTGGGTTTCTTGGTCAAGTGCCTTAGTGGGATTGTCCACGAGCAAGACGGATTGATGTGTCTATGGCGGTGACCCCATGGCCACCCCCTTTCCCCCCTCCCCTTTTTTTTTTGTTTTGTCCCCCTCCCCCCCTGCTCTTCATGGCTGCTCTCATAACGGTTCTATGGCCCCCTCCTCTCTTAACTAGTATTAGTACTGTTCACTTTGCTCTTCATCATGTTCAAAAGCGCACCCGTCTTCTCCCCCTCAAGTTACGGGACTGACCGGGAAAAAGGGGAAGCCATCATTTACATATTCGTATCCTACCTACCTGGACTTTTCCTGCCAAAAATCCTGACGGACATCCCACTGCCGTCTTTTCGACAGCCGAGGCTTGAAAGACATTCAAAGCAACCTCTTCTTGAGTGCTTCTCAGTCTCATATTCAGGGTAAACAAACTGCAATGCAAATTCTCCACAGTTGTCCATGTTGGTGTTGCTGACAAGTATACGATGTTAAATCTGACATGCCACTCAACTCACCATGACCTCCAACCAAGTTTGTCACCCCGCACTCCATTCTTCGGAGTTATAAAGTCTCCTGATATTGCGCCACCAATCTTATAATAGGATGAAAAGAGTAAATAAACACCAAAACCAAAGACCCACTTGACGCCATGCTAGCAAGACAACCCAACAATAAAAAACCAAAGCGACGGACGCCGAGTATTTCCACCTCGTTACCAGACTGAATGGACTAAAATCACGTAGTACCCCCTCATAGATGAAGTTACACCCTTGCCGTTTGCGAGTTGTGACTGGGCAATCAGGCACCGGGTCGCGCAACTCGCTGAGAAAAGTTGCTTGCAGTAGCCAGACGAAGCTCTGAGGTCGTGCGCCTGGCTGGCTCCGCTGTTGTACCATACTGAAAGTGCCTTGTCCGTAGCTGAGGGTTGCCGAAAAGAGGCCCGAAATGTGTCCCCAACCGTGACTGTAGGACATCTCGATAAATAGTCGGAACCTCGTGCCATCGACCTTCACGAGCAGCGGCGAGAATACGGGGCGCAGAAAGCTCGCTATTTGTGGTATCGGAGTGGCGTGGTAGTTGACCAGTTTCGATAGCAATCTTCAGCCACTCCTCGTCCGATGGTGCAGCAAGAACGTTATTCGAGACGTTGCTTTGGTGCCCTGGAAATGCCGGGGGTACGGTCAGCGCTGAGTCAATCCCGCCCTCGTCGCTCATGGCCTCGTCCCCGTCCTCGTTCATGATCTCGTCTTCGTCTTCCTTCACAGCCTCCGGCGCAGCTTCCCTACAGAGCTCAGAGCTAGACTCAGGCTCAATCCTGACCCTGTCCCGAGGATAGGTCAAGTCAGGAAAGCCGTCGGCCGTAGTGTCCCGGATGATAATCCCCTGCTCCTCTTCGTACTTTTCCTTGGCCCATCTTGTGCCCTCCCACTTTGTCAGATTGGCAATCTCCCATTCGGTCAAACGGAGGGCATCGAAGGCGCGGAAGAGCCGACGGTGCCATGTCCAGCGGCTTAGGCGAATGCGGTGAATCGGGTGGTTGTAATCAAGGCCGGGATACTTCGCTTCTTGGGTGTCGATATGACCGTAATACGAGTGTACTTCTTGTCGAACCTCATAAATCAGATGCCTCTGGAGAAAGACGGAAAAGTTCGGGGGGTCCGATGGTCGGGCCTTTGGGAACATGTACCCATAGACAAGTTCCTCGATCGGGGGCTGTTTCATCTTGGGCTGACGTCGAAGAACCTTTCTGACACTGCCGCGTAACGTATTCGTGCGTTGTGCGTGATTATGGGAGTTGATGCTTGAGTTACTGATGCTGTCGCGGTTTAGTAAACTTGAGTTTGATGTGGTACTGGTGGTGAGATGTCAGTAAGGTAGTTGAGGGAGGAAGACAAAGCGGACTGGAGTCTGAGGGAAGAAGTTGGCAAGTGACAGTAGTGAAGGCGGATATGGTGTGACGGACCGGAGAAGGCAGGGGTGAAGATTAGGGAGGCTCTGAGGACGTAGGATGGAATGTGGTTGCTAAGCTGAACTGCCACATGTTGCTTGATGTAAGTAACGTACGTACATTGGCTGATGACACTGGGCAGGTGCTGGCAGGGTCTCTCGGCTTGTGACTTCTGTCCGACTTCCCAAGTGAATCTCCAGGTTCTCCGGATGGACAGGATCGCTTGTGTTGCGAAACGGTCATATGGAGAGGGAAAGTGCAAAAGGAAAGGAAGGGAGCGTTAAGTGAACTGGTATGAGAGGGAGTACAGGGCAAATATTAATAACAGTCGAGGGCCGGCACCCAAAGAAAGAAGACCGGAATGGCGACCCCGGATCCATGCCGTGTCTATATCCATAATGAACAATACAGTATGGGCGACCGGCGAATGCGGCCTCGAAGGAGTGAGGTGGTGGAAGGGAGAAGGTGGGAGTGGCCCAAGAAAAAGGCCTAGTCTTGTGCTTGCCCATCAGTCGAGAAACCCGAGAGAAAGAGAAGGTGTGATGGGATGTCTACACCCAAAGAGGTACATAGAGATTCCGGCCCATGGCCCAAAGGATCACCAAAAGGAAAGCCACACGGGACAAAGGGGACAGGCGTCAATCTTTATGTTTCCACGGCATTCATGAATGTCTGGTCAGGCAGAAGCTCCTTGTTATTATATGATGCCGCCAACCGTCAGCATATTGGACCGAAGTGTACCTGCCTCTGGAGGAATACTTTGTCGAAGCGACGAACTCGAGGCTCTTGCCGTGGGTGATTGTGGATCTCTGTGTATCATCCGATAGTACATGACCAGCGGTCGGGAGTTGCATTCAGGGAGTTGCATAATGGAGCGGGATGGCAAGGGGCAGTTGGCCGGAGGAAAAAAAAGTGGAGACCCGCACTGTTCGACTAGCGTATGTATGTACAATGGCGCACGACGGACTGCCTGATCAACTGTTTGGACAAACCCGATCGTGGAGGGAGTCGGTCTCGGGTTTACAAACCTCAACCCACACAGTCACTGGCATCAAAACCTCATGGAAACCGCCAGCACTCACAACATCAAGCATAACCTGCACAGAGATGGGAAAAACATCAGATCCCACGCTGTCAAGCTAGCCACTATAACTGCTATCCGTCACACTGCCTGCACATGCCCTGGCCATCCATGATGTTCAGACTGGAAGATAATGAATGATGGATGCGGCACGATGGCTTTCAACCCTTGACGAGTGCCGGAATTTCCACGGAAGCAACGCGGCAACAATAACGGCAGACCGACCGTGATCTGAACTACTCCTTCAGTCAGTCCCAGGCTGCCACGATACCGAAGCAATTGGCTGGTTTGCCGGTCAGCGGTTGATTTGGTGGTTGGCTTCCGATCTTGAGGGAATCTTATCCGCATCCTAACAACTCATCGTCTCATCGTCGTCAACTGTCCTATCGATCTCTTCTTTGGACACCGAACGCGCCGGACAATTTCCAGCAAAGAAAGAAGGCGCAGGGAACGAGCGCCTCATGACCATCATATACCTACCTGGGCACTGTTGGGGCATGGTCGACATCACCAACCCAGGCAACCGAAAGCGGAAGTGGCAAGTCTTGGTTGAGATGGTTGTTGGTACCATTCGTCGAAATAATGTGAAGAAGGTCGCACAGTTCCCCGTATGTTGGGTTTGTTCAACATTGCTCTTGTGCATTACGGGCGCAACATGTTGCACTGTCTCTACACCAGTTGGCGCTATCCACCCATAGATCGTCGGCGGTTGCGATACAAGTGGTACATGAATAAAGAGCCTGGACAACCCAATTCATCCAAAACATGGTACCTCTGGGCAAACAAGACATCTTGGTCTGTCCTGGCCAGAGCATTGACGAGAACACACACTTGTTGGCTTTGTGGCTTTGCCGATTCTACTCGGTTTGCTGTTCCACAGACCATAAAGAAACATATGTCGGGATCACATCCAAACCATGGTGATAGGATCACACTATTTGCTCTGCGAACCAACAGACCGTTCCTTCCCGGGCAATCGGAGGATTCTAGGACAACGCCGCACAAACCAGCCCCAAGGCACCGGATGTTGGGACGTGAAGATGGATCCTACTAGGCGCCTTCACCACTAACTCCGCCACCACTCCCACAACCACCAACACGGCGCTTTCCTGGTCTAAACACCCACATATTCGGATATACATGGACGGTGCACTCCTAGTTGAGACCTCTTTCACGGAGCGATAAGCATGCAGTACGTAGGTATGTACGCCAGGGAGCTCTTCAGCTATCCTGTCAAGTGAGAACCACCAATGACGGTTATTAGAACCCTCTTTTTCGTTTTAACGGCTTGTCACCCCGCGTAATTCCGTGGTAACGAATCAGTCTCGCTAAATTCGAAGAAAGTATTTATTGATGTCTGGAGCCAAACCTCCAGTTCTCTCGTCGTAGTACCATTCGTGATGATCTGGCATCTCGCCATCGCCCTAGCTTGACCTTGTTTGTCCCTTCCCGAAGCGAATAGGTACCTCTAGGCATCAATTCACTGTTCATGCATTACATATACGGCCCAGGCGGCCATGTCTTGCGACCCTCCCCCGTGGCAGCCTCCTCTCCTCACATCTTCGTCTTTACCACTACTTAAAGCATCAATCAGACGGTTAGTCAAGTTACACATCTTGCAGCTGCCCGGCGGCCACAATCCAACGAGACCTGCTGGCGAGGGCAAGTCGTGCCGCCGTCCACTGGCTGCGATTGATTCTTGTTCTAAGCAGCTCGGTACCCGACCGGTAGGTTGTGAATACATAACTGCCAATCATCCCACTTTTTGCGGCGGTCCCGGTTATGGGCCGCATCCCTTTCTCCCCTCTTTTCTCTGGTAATACCCCCCACTTCCTCCGGCCACGCCGACGGTTAGGCCGGCCGGCCGGCCATCGCGACCGTTACCGTGACCGTAACTGCGACCGCTTCCTTTTCCCCTCCTCTCCTTCCTGATGATTCTCTTAATTTGGGCCTTCTTTTTCCAAGCCCAACGGCGGCGACAACACATCTAGCTGACGCCCAATATCGTCTAAACATCATTATCTATCTGATGTATAACCACAATCGCGTTTGCACATATTTAAATCATCTTTTCGCCTGCTCGTTCCCCGACAGTGGAACTACTCTAGCATCCTTTTCGTGATGACTAGAGATAGAAGACCTTCATAATGCTTTCCCTCTCGTTTACGTTGTTTCGCTCCAGTCCAGTTACTCAAATTTTCACACGGACGAGAAGGCGCCAGAGTTGGCGGTCGCATCCCCTTCGACCCCCGCCCACATGCCCGGAGGTTCTCATCTATTCCGATCAGGTTGGGTCGGGTCAGACTAGGCCGGGACGAAAACGACCGGCATTGTTCGTATGCACACGTGACTCATTGTTTTGCAATCAATTCCAGATTGTCTGTCTATCTGCCTGTCTGTGTTGTCCCTTCTTTTCCCGCAAGAGACTGTTGCTGCCCGATGAGGTGAGTGTGATCTTTGATTTGTTCCTTGCGCCGACCGAAAGCAACTGAACCGAGCTCGAGGGCTCCGTCGTTGTCAGCAACAAGAAAAAAAAAGACAACCAGACACGAATGACAAAGTGACTGGACGGAGCCCTGGGAGCCTCAAAGGATCAATATCGGGAATTCAGGATCAGATGCAACCGACTGGCATAGCGGTCACTGCCACTACCGAAAAAAAACCGATATAACCAATACAGCCACCAACACAACCATTACTGTCAGTACTAATTAGACAGGTGTTGATCATTGCCTGTTCGTTGTTCTTCTGTTGGCACATTTCGACTGTTGCCTGTTCTCGTCTACATAAAAGTATCATATCTTTCGCATTAATAACATCATCGAGGTATACATTTTGTTGACTCGCTTAACTGAACAGAAGAAAACACATGAATCTTCCAAACACCCCAGCAATCAGAGTAGGTAGGCAGTAAACGCTCCGTCAGCCATGTAGGCATTTCCCATTCACACATCATCGATACCTATCCTTCCAGCTGAGGACCCCGTTTATCCCATTATTACATCTCCAAGACATCCACGTATCCTAAAATCCCACACCATGTATCCAAAAATCCACCACATTTTGTATACCGGGAAAACCAACGACCCAATCCCCTCCCACTTATAGGCCAGAGTTGATATGAAGCTTCACTCCTAGGTCTCGCCCATCACCTATAAGACGGGCTAGACAGCCTCTCCCTATGCAACGGCCGTTCCCTCGAGCGCATCTCATCTCTCGACCCCCACCTTCCCTCCCTATCCCTATCGCGTTCCCTATCTCTAGAATCTCTATACCGATCCTGGGTGTCTACTCTACCACCGAGCATCGACCCGCCGCTACCACCCGTCCAATCCCGCCTATCAATATCCGCCCGACTACCTGTCCGCCTGTCGAGGTCGGCCTGTGCTAGATATGGACCGTTGGCTGTTCGTGCCCCTGGGGCCCGGCCGCCGCTACGGCTGCTGTGCGGTGAGTGTGACAGGTCGAGGCCGTCGTCTTCGTCGTCGCGGTCCGTGTGCCGTTCGCGGTGCTCGCGGTCTCGGCGGAGGGTGCCGGTGGAGATGCCACGGCTTCTTTCTCGGTCCCGGTCCCTGCGTGAAGTAGGTTCAAGCTCGTCGCTGTCTAGGTCGCGGTAGCGATCTCTGTCTCTGTCTCTGTCTCTGGTGCTTCGGTCTCGAACCCGATCTCGGTCGTGGTCACGGTCCCTGTCCCTGTCTCTTTCTCGGTCGCGGTCGCGAGACTTGATCCGGATATCTCTCTCCCTCTCTCTGTCGATGTCCCTTTGGTCCAAAATCCTGCTCTCCTTGCTCCTCTTTGCCCTACGCCGCCGGTCGACATCGGTCTCTGACTCGGTGAGATCCGATTCATCGTCGGAATAAGATTTACGTCTGGAGTCGCGGTATAGCTCCCTCACGGCTCTGTCAGGTCCAGTAACTCGGTCATCTTTCTGGCCCCTAGATCGGCTTCGTCGATCGTCACCGACAATGGAAACGCCTGGGAAAAGGTTGGAAATCTTGTCTTTGATACCGGAGCCTATGCCCTTCCGCTTGGAGTCGTCCGCCCTTAGTGAAGAGGTAGTCGCCGGGACTACCGCGATCGGGGGTTCCCTGCGCGAGTAGCTGTGGGATCGTGGTGAGATGCTGCGCCCGCCCATGGCCGCCGCTCGAGAAGAGGGTACGCCGTCGGAGTTGAAGACGCGACGGGTTGATACGGGAGGCGGCTCTCGAGAATCTCGACTGCTTCGGCTGTGGTGGCGTCTTCCTGATCTCGACGTTGCTGGTTCGACTTCTGCATCTGACGAGGAAGGGCTGGTGTAGTGACGGGGTTGGCTGAGGCGGCGAGGAACCGAAATTCGATCGGTGCGAAGTGGGATCTGCATTGATTGAGTCTCCTGGGGGATGATGTGCGGGTAGTCAGTGAAGCTGGGGCGTCGGCTCGTACGCTCTTCCTCAGACGGGAAGACCTTCCGTGGCGGGGCATAGCGGCCTCGGCCAACATGATCGAGAGGATCTGGGTCGATATCACTGGTCCTTTCACGCTCTGGTTCCCTAGGCCGTTCAGGAGATCTTCGAGGATCGTATCGATCTGTTCGTTCAGGAGGACGGACGTAAGAGACGGGAACAGGGCCGGAGCGTTTGTTGAAGTAATCATAATCCTGCGATCCGGACGCCTTGGGCCGGACGTGTGAAAATGGAACCTTTGCATCGGAGAAGTCATCCGCTTTAGGGTCTACCCCAGGCGCTTCTCTCTCTTCCTTCGGTTCCTCTCTGGTGGTCGCCTCGGCGCGAAGTTTCGTCGCACAACTTTGGTGCCACAGGTCGGTGTCTTGATCGGTATCAACGGGAAAAACTGTGGCCGGCAAGTCATCCGGAAACACCGTTCCAAATTCAGGATGCTTCAGAGACCAATTCTTGACCGCAAATTGAACGATCGGCACATGAGTTTGTGGCTCTAGCAGAATCTGAATGGCCTGCCACCGCGCAAAGCCTTTAACCGTAAGTGCCGGAATCGAAGGGGCCGCAAAGTCGTCCTCGGTGGGCAAAAGTAAATGTTGGCATCCTTGAACTTGGTAGATGAACGAGATAGACTGAGGTGGCATGTTTACAAAAAGTCCTGCGTTGTCTGCGATTAGCACGAATGGGGTACTGCTAATATGCCATGTCGTAACTTACTATCGTAGTCATGACCTGCCAGCTTGTAAAAAGCCGCCATCTTAGCAGGAGCTAAATGCTTCTCATCTTTATCTCCAATGTCATTAATCTATTCTAAGGTTAGCGGTGAGGGACAGGGCCGGTTTGGAGGCGGAATAACATACAATGTGCAGAGCAAGAGCTCTCAGAAGGGCGTCAAGCAACGGTTTTGGTTTTGGTATCGGGATCTCGTCTGGTTTCGGATCATCATACATGTAGCCGTAGAAGATCTCCTTGATCTTCCCATTTGTCTCGGGTGTTGGAGAAGCCATGGTGATAATGCCTGCCTCATGCCAGCTTCGAGTGCAGAAACGAAAGCCAAGGTTGGTCGTTGTTACGGCGAACGAGCCGGCTTCAGTACTCTTGTCGTTGTTGATGCACACGCCCTGGAGGTGAGTGGGCTAATGGAAGGCTGAGATTTATGACAGTAGAGAGCCGAGGGGAATGTGAATGTAACAGAATCAGAAGTTCTTGGGCCCCAGTTTATGGCCAAGCTAATGCGGACGCGCAGATATAAGGCCTTGGCTCATATAGTATGACGGAGAGCCTGAGTAACGTGAGCTTGGGTGTTTTCTTGGGAAGCTGCATAAAATGACTGAGGCAGAGTGGCTCGACAACTGGTTCGTGACTCCCGAAACGCAGACACTTTAGGTAGAAATAATGTATGGCCTAACTCCTATAGGCGAGATAGATCAGGTGGGTCGGGTAACGACTACAACAGCCCTTGTGGTGGATTGTAACAAGAAGTTGAACGTCAAGTGAAGAAGATACTGCCTGTCGGGTTAGGTATCACTCAAACCGACAACCTGGGGGAGCTCAACCACTGACAGGTACAGCGACTTGTTTCTCGTTTGAGGTGGATAAAGTAACGCCGCGAGACACAGGTCAGCACAGAATCCAGCCAACGAAAAAATTTGGGAGCAAAAAGCCTTTAGACACGATGCTTCGAGGAAAGGGGGAGTGACGGTCGGAGAGACGTCCACTCGGTTCAACTTGATGAGAGGGTGTGGTTGCTTATGACTGAAACGGCGAGAGAGCACCAAGTGAGGACGCAGGAAAATGAGGGTAGCAAGAAGGGTAGCGAGCCAAGAAGCTGGTGATAGGCAGGTCTTGACAGGCTGACGGGTTAACGCTGGACACGTGCACCCCCGCCGTTCATATCAACTGCGCTCGCAGTGGTGCTTGTCTGGATACAAGCCTCCAATGGCAGCTCCCAGGGACCAGGCAGAATCCGGTTCTCGAATTTCCAAGATTCTCGAAGTGAGAAGGACACCTTAGAACCCTCTTGGTTCCACCACGCCCCGGGACCTGCATTTGGTGGTGCGAATTTTGTCAACCCGACGACCTGACAAATGGAAAAATACCTCCATAGCTTGCCAGCCACCCTGAAGATCCTGCCCGCCCAACTGTGGCCAAGGCATCACGGTGCTGAACAAGGCGAAGCGATCAGCTCACCCACCGGACAATCGACAATTCCCTCGGAGAAGAGCCAAGCCAAGCGCAACAGGAACCCGACGTGACTCTGTTGCATCATCGATGGTGGGGCACAATTCGAGCAGTGGAGGCAGCCTGAGAGCTCGAGGTGGTTGGCGAGAACATAGAATTAAGGGTTAGGGTAATAGATGCACTTGACCTTCCCACAGTTGGACCTCATGCATTGAGTTCATCCCATCTCAATTTCTTGTCCCACCCACCGCCATGAACAGACATGCGATCCAACTTTTCACATGAACCCAGCATTGGGTAACCAAATGATAGTGGAGCTGTGAGCGTCCACACTAAACTGGCAAGCTTGCCCCAAAGTGCATTACGTATCTTCAAATATTATTTTGATGCGAGCAAACAGTTCGGAACTGGGTAATTCTGATACCGGCTCCGGCCTCCGATTGCCGATCCGGGGTGCACGAACCCTGACGCGGGGCGGACGCCGTAAAGTGGAGCCGGGATCGGATGTCAAAATGGACGTCTCTTCGACAAGTTTTCGGAGCGGCATCAGTCATCCATCTTTATTCTCTCTCTTCAGGCTAAACCCATCATCCCCTCCCAGGAAAGTACCTGAAAGAAGGCATATCAACCAGAACCATTTCCGTTCCATCCTCAGTAGGCCTCGGTTCCCTCGCCTTCCAAGTGAGGACGTGTTCGAACCCACATTTCTTCAGGATATTCTGGCTCTTCCCATTTGCATCCGTCGTCAACGCCATCAGTCGTTCTTCTACCATCTCTTCTGAATTCTCATAAACCCCATTCCCGCCCCTCAACGTCCTCTCGTCACACTTCACCTCCGTCACCTCCCTGGGCAAGGCCTTCCATAGCGGCAACCAAGCCTTCAAGAACTCAGTCGCGATGCCCTGCCCCCACACCTCTTTCCTGAACATGTAGCCTAGCTCGGGCCATCCCAGGCTTGAGCTCCAGCTGTGACAGCCGCCGATGCCGATCAGCTTGCTTGGGTCCTCCTTGAAGCAGATGGCGAAGTTGAATGATTTGTTGTTTCCTTCTGGTGAGAGGAAGTAGTCTAGCTTGGCCTTGGCCTCGTCTAGACTGCTGTCAGGCTTGCCGGCGGAGGTCCAAAACATGACTTCCGGTTGGGTGCGCAGCTCGTGCAGGGCCTCTAGATCGGACGCAGCCAGGGGCCGGATGAGTAGCCTCTCTGTCTTGACCAACGGACGCTCCGAGATGAGCGGGAGAGGGAGGCGAGGGAGTGTCGACCTGACGGTTATGAAGGAGTCAGGAACCGGTGCTGTCTCTGCCATGGTGTTTGATGAAGGGTGTACGATGTGATATGATTTGGCGGTAACAGATGGTACATGAATAGGTAAGTAGGTACGTATGATCAACACACAGAACGAGTCCGGAGTAAGAAAAAGATCTGGGAAGTGAAGTTCAAATTTCTCATGGGAAGAGAGTTAAGTCTGGTATTATATATCCACCCACACATCCACTGCCTTATAGCTTTAGCCTTTGGCGAGTGAGTCACACCGCCTGACAGATATAAATCTTCCAGTGAGCTCTTGGTCACGTTCAAAGTAGCTGCAGCGGTCCCCGATGCCAAGGGCTGAACCGCGCTAGCGAGATGGCCAGCTCCTGGAAGTGAAGTGTTGGATCGCTCAAGACATGGAGAAGAGCCGCCTTCCATAATGGATCTTACCCAGCGTTCGCGTAGCAGCTGAGGCATTCATCTGCTTTCCCCCATCACAGAGACGAGCAATGGCATTGCTGGAGCACGCAGTCTAGGGTGGATGCAGGATCGACTTGCAGAACGAAAACCAACCACATGCTTGACCATTTATTCATTCATGCTCGTTCTAGGGAGCAATGCAGGATATCCCATTTCCCGTGATGAAAACCTGAACCTCCCAATCCCAGCCACGATAATAAACGCTTAAGCAAAGGTAGCGGGGCGCTTGGCGCTGAAGATCTTCTTGTTGGAGATCTTGGGGACGCGGTGGGGAAGAGGGAAGGAGAGCTTCTTGGTAACAAGCTGCTTGATGTAGGGGCGCTTGATGTCCTCGGTCTTCTCGAGCTCAACGACCTTGAGGATCTGTAATGGGGGGTTAGCATACTAGGGGCCTGGAAATAGGTGTGATAGGTGCAACGTACGTGGATGGACCTGAAGCGGGCACGGTGGCGAGCAGCCATGTCGGAGTAGAGAGCCTCGACAGCGGCGGTGCGGGAGAGCTCACGGTACTCCTTGTACATGTTGTGGGTGCCAGAGCGGGAGTCGTAGCGGATCCAAACACCGAAGTTCTTGACCTTCAGGGGGTGCTTCTCGGTGATCTGATAACGGGTTCGTTAGTTTGTTGTCCCAAAGATATCCATGCCGATTAGACGCTGCTACATACCACGTTGCAGGTGACGATCTCGCCAGTAGCCTTCTTGACCTTGCGAAGACCGCGAAGGAAGTACCAGAAGCGGGACTTAGCAACGACCGCATTGGGCGCGAAGATGCGCATGCGGTAGAGGGCAGGAGTCGGGTTGGACTCGGTGGGCAAGTGGCGCCCAATGACCTGGTACTCCTGGAGACGACCTGAAGCATGACGTTAGCTGCTGCTTCAATATCACCATCGTCACGATCCCCACGCAGTCCCAGAAATGACGGTTGATATCGGCTTGGCTCTGTTGAAGATCGGTTTCGCTCGGTTGTTATCGTGGTGTAGAAATCGCCCAGTTGCACTCGAACTCAGTCGTCCAGCCTTTGTCGGTCAAAACAGCCAATTCCCCACGAAGATCCGTTTCCTGTCGTCATTGAACGTGTCTGCGCAGTCCCAGAAGGAGTCCCAAGCGACAAATCCACCATTCTATCGTTATTCATTGAAAGTCGCATCTCGTCGGGCAGCCGGTTTCGCGATCGGATTGTTGTTCGATGTTATCACGTTGCTGTCGCAATATTCACACCTCTGCGCGGGTCGGGACGACCAAAGAAAAAGAAGCAATCGCTTACCCATCTTTTCAAAAATTAGCGATGCTTCGATAGCCGTGAGAATGCCAGGGAGCAAAGACTTACTGTGATTATTCGTCGCTAGGTACCGCGAGAATTTCGTTCTGTTGAGCTGAAGGATGTCTCGAATTAGCGGGCACGCGAGGAAAAAAATCCGGGTGTGCTTGTTAGGGCTCATCGTGCTCGGGCCAAAAATTTCTGGGCCACATAGCCTTTAGCCACAACGTGGCGGTGCGCCAAGCGATTCCCTCCTTGCAGCATTCACTCAGCTCCTTGTGAAGGTGCACATGTGGAGCGGCAGGTACGCCTGGCCAGGCAACTGAACAGTGAACCGCGACTGCCAGGGAGCCAAGGAGCATCCGTCGAATGCTCGGCGGGAACGACCAGCGACAAAAGTGCAACGATGCAGTGAGCTCAAAGACCAATCACATTCCAGACTCCCATCTTTTTTAAGCTGCAAGCTTCCATCGACATTCACCTTCCAAGTGGTCACTCTCGTTTCAAGCAACGGCTGATTTCAGAATTACATACCTACCTAATCACCATATTTTCAGTTACATTGCTCTCATCTCAGTTGGACACCCAAATCAACCTTCAGTTTGGTCTTTCTGTCCATCAAGGAGGCACGGTCCTGTCCTCAGCAAATTAGGGCGCCAGAAGCTCCAAAGCTACATACGTAGCCCGTCTAGGCTACAACCGCCTTGCGCCCGGATCCCACACCACAACAACGACAGCTTGCTACCAGTGTGTGGCTCAGGGTGATATCAAGATACCAAAATGGATTCACTCATTCGAACTTTCTCAAATGCGCAGACAAGCCGTGACGGATATCAGCTTGCGCAGACACTATCGCCTGATCTCCCACAGCAGCAACTTCAGGCCATCTGGAAAAGTTGCGGTCACCATGATGCCCAAAATGTCATAAAGCGCGGTATTCAGAATAGCACGTCAGGCTTCGAGAAACTGCCCAAGGACGAGGTGCAAGGCTGGAGTGATGTATACCTTGCCTACTGGAAGGCCATCGGCGAGCTTCTCCCTGCTTTAAACCAGGCGCCGCAGTCATCATGGACAAAAGTATACGATGCGTGGAAGGAACTACTCTCTGCGTTATACAGAGGCTACATCGGCCAGGGGTTCGAAGCATGGTCAATTCCGTGTCTCTATGTCGTGGCCAAGAATCTGCGCTTCTTTGCCTTGAAGGCTGATGAGGAACGCAACAACAACGTAGCCGCCGGGGACACATCGGGCCAGATCTTCCAGGATGACTTTGACCCCGAATCTGAGCAAAATCAGAAACTGGAGGATTGCGCGCGCCAGCTTAACAGGATCTTTACGCTTTGTCTCAATGACAGGTAACACTTCTCTCATCATATGCATGCTCCAGGATGAACATCATTAACCATGTTGCAGGGCACCCTTGGAGGAGTCACGAAAATGGGGTATTTATTACATCATCAACCTTCTGTTCAAGACATACTTCAAGCTGAATTCGGCCAGTTTATCCAAAAACATCCTCAAGACATTGTCGGCTTATCGAGGTGACATGCCGCCCCTTTCCGCCTTCCCCAAGTCACAGCAAGTGACGTTCAAATATTACGAGGGAGTTCTATGCTTCTTGGAGGAGAACTATTTTCAGGCTGAGGAGCACTTGACACAGGCGTGGTCTCTCTGCCACAAGGATGCCACGAAGAACAAAGAGTGCGTCATCAGTCGGTCTCTTCCGTTGCAAACCTGAACAAGTAAACTGACTCCCGGCGTTACTAGGCTTATCCTCACATACCTTGTTCCCTGCCACCTCCTCACAACACACACTCTCCCAAGCCAAAAGCTCCTTGAGCCGTACCCTCGACTCCAGAAGCTTTTCCTGCCGCTGTCCAACTGCATCAAGAAGGGCGAGCTGCACGCATTTGACCTGGCTCTTCAGCAAGGCGAAGACGAATTCGTCAAGCGACGCATCTACCTGACGTTGGAGCGAGGACGCGACATCGCACTGCGCAACCTCTTGCGTAAGGTCTTCATTGCTGGCGGGTTCGAGGAGTCCAAAGTGGAGGGCGGTCCGCGGGTGCGGCGCACGCGCATCCCCGTCGCCGAATTTGCTGCTGCTATAAGTCTGGGGAGCAAGCAGATGCTTGAGACGGATGAGATTGAGTGTTTGATGGCGAACATGATCTACAAGGTAAGTGGACAACCCCTGGGAAACTGCATGAAGTACCCAAGAAGGAATACGGTATCCCCCTCGTTTCAGTCAGTCATTAACCAATCCGAAATTTAGAACCTCATGAAGGGCTACATAGCACGCGAGCGAGGCTTTGTGGTGCTTAGCAAGAGCGGTGCCTTCCCCGGAACTGGGGTATAGTGTTCCAAACTGTGACCGGGCGATGATTGCTGGCTTGCCGCAGTTCACCAATGGCAGCAGTAGCGGTACATCGAGTGGACGGAAATTGACTGGGAGCTTAATTTGAAGTCCAATACTGGAAATCGGGTTCAATCCAACCAAAATTCTTGCCGGGAGAGAGGTAACCGTGTTGTACCCATCTTCCAAGGCTACGCTACTACCATGTGAGTATCGCTCTGCTCTGTTGGTGGCTTGGCGGCTAAGAAAGTCTTTCGCACAGACGCCGTCAGACGTCTACACATACTTCATTTGAGTTCAAAGGGTGACGGTTTCACAATAAAACATAGCCGACCGCCTGCTTTTGGCGTGCTGTTTACGGTCATGTTCGTGAAGAACTTCACGGTAACGCAGAAACAAAGGAATGGCTTTGATCTAATCAGGCACAGCCAGGAGGTCTAGGACTAGCTTGCATTACAACAATGACTACAGTATGCGATATTTGTGAAGTGTTCGCAAATTGCAACTTTCTTCGATCAATCAATCCAAATATCAAATAATCCAGACGGCACTGTTCACATTGCAACCAGTTTATCGGAGGGTATCAAAGAAGTGAATCTCTCAACTCTGTTCAATTTTAGTGTTGAAATTCTCGCTGCCCTGACGCCCATTTTCTATTCTGCCCATATCCGACTATAAGGGCCCGACCCGTTGAAAGTGCTGGTAGTATATATAGCCTTGGCTCAACGAGCGTACAGAACTCAAGTCCCGCAATCACAGTATACACGTTCTGGCCCCATTCTTGTTCAGTCTTCAGGATTTCTTGCGTTCAGATGCCATAAATACCACAAAGACCAAGTCATGCTTTGTTCACATATTTCACTCTTGTTCATTCTGCCGTAGTAGTTTTCGTCATGGCTCCCAACCGAGAAAATCGGAACTTCAAGTTTAGTGATATCGCCGTAAACAAACCTCCCCCCAACACCATGTGATAGAAAGCACCAAGTGATATCATGTACGAGTAGATAACTGGCCAAATGTATCTTGGAGAGAAAGAACCATCCGTCCTAGAATCACACACCTTCACAAGATGTGTGGAAACAGGAACTTGGAAAAAAAAAAAAAAAAGGGTAAAGAACTACGGCTGGGAGCCGTTCTCGTTGCAGTAGCTTTGCTGGGTGTTTTGTTGGGTGCTTCTGCTGAAAATTAGAAACTACTTCCTGTACACATGATGAACCTGGCTGCGAAGACAGAGGGGAGTAAAAAAGAAACTAGACTTACGAACCAACCGAAATATCATCAACATGATTACACAGTGCCACAAACAAGTCAAAGAAGAGATCACTGCCGCCGTGAAACATCTCCAGCTGCATAGTTCCGCTGCGCTTGAACGTGTTGCGGCCGCGGATAATCAGCGCAAGATAGTGAGCTCGAAGCTTGGAGTCAGTGTCGGGGGTGTTGGCGTAGGCGTATCTGGCGGAGGTCAAGATTGTGCTGGCCACTCTTCCGCATTCTGCATGTATGCATGATTGGGTCAGTTTAGTTCAGATGGTGAACATGATGACACGAAGAGGAGGAAGACATTAGTTAGCTGATGAAATAAATGGCTTGACTTACGAAGACCGTGCTTCCTTAGAGCAATTCTCTTTAACTCTTCCAGTCCATATTTCTCGCCCACGCAGTAAATCACTGTGTCCTTGAGCACTTCACCATCAACTGAATGATGATAAATGGTTGGAGCCTCCCGACCACCGTTCCCGTTTCTCCCTGCTGCCGCTGACTCCTCCAGTTCCCACGTGTCCCGTCTCTTATCGTGAACGAGGCGGGAGTGGTAGTCGCCTTTGTAGAGATATTCGAGAACTGAGGAGAAGATCTCGGGTTCCTCATTAGGGAGCAATATTCGCTTGGTTTCACCTTCAGAGAATTGAGTGTCGAGGACGTTCTTGAAGAAGGGCGAAGCGGATAGCACGTTTTCGTGGGCGGCGAAGATGCGGGACTCTTGGCCGATTATGAGGGTGACGATGGGTGAGATGGGATTCAGATTGCCACTAGAATCAGATTGATTAGAAGTAGGTTTGAAGTGAGTTTGGTTCGGTTTGAAAACGTACTCTGCACGAGCCACTGTTCCGGGAACGGTCGCCACATTAGGACGACGATGACGGAGGTCATGGCGACGCTTGGAAATTCCGGCTTCTTTAGCGAAGGACAAGGATGAATTCGACCTGACTAGCTTCGGTGGTCTGGAACCACTCTTGCTGTGGGGGATATCGAGGCACCGAGATGACATTTGTGGGACGATCGTGATTGACCACTTTGTCTGCTTCCTATGATGCACTTGGAGGCAGAAGATGACAATCAAGCAATCGCTTGCATCGATACAAAGATATCAGGTGGTATGTGTCGGCGAGGAACACACGAATGGGGGCTTGGGTGGTCGATGGCGATAGAGAATCGGCAACAACTTTCTTATCAGTCTGGTGGTGATATCTGGCGAATACCACGCGTCTAACTACCGAAAGTGCCGAGTGCTTTGAAGCCCAGAAATCTGCGCGCAAAACGGATGAAGAGCCAGGTCAATATTCGATGGGCGATGCATTCTTATATGGACGCGCTGTGCATAAATGGAGGCCTAGTCGTTTCCAATTGTGCACTAGGCTCCAGCCAGTCCTGAGGGGTACGTTGAACCTTGATGGGTAGGTATACAGAGTGGTAACCTTGGCTGGCACAACCTGCAGTATCTTTCACACCATCAAACGTGATTTGGCGCGTTAAGTGTTCGAGGTGGGAAACGGGATATTCGCACGAGGTCACCTGATGGCGCGCTAGTCCATTTCGAGGCCACTGACATGGGGGTCGACATCGGCCGGCCTCCCTTCTCTTGCCTTTTCATGGTGTAAGATGGCCCGGAATAGGATCGACGGATCATGGAGGAAATGCAAGGGCGAGGAGAGCCGGCCGGGGGTGGTGGCGGGTGGGGGTGTGGAATGAGTGGGATAGTGGCATTCACATCATCATGATGATACAAACGGCGATTAAGCGGAACGAACATTGGAATGGATCGTTGATTGGCGTGGAGCGAGTTTTACGCCCGACACAATGTGGCCCGTAGCTTCCCTTCCAAGATTGTGGTGTTTCCTCCACTCCAGTCTTTCGGTGAGCCTGGGGCCCGGCCATATGACGATTCAGCAGCTCACAAGGCTGGCTGCTATTGCCATTTTGCCGCATCATTGGGCTTGGCATGAGCTGGTGCCTGGTGGTGAACCAAGATCATTACTAGTTACCACTTGAAACTCGCCGTCAGCGTCAGCTACGCATCGACTTGTTTGAGCACATGTTTCCACGTGGGAAGCCCAATACGCATCTCTCTCGCTGACAATCCGAGTCGTCAAAAGATTTCGCCCATTCGAAAGCCCCGAGATGAGAGCCTCAATTCCTATTGCGATTACCCCGCCATGTCCTAGGGTACGCAATAGCTTTGTACCACGCCAGCATCAGAGTCTCTGCGCCTCCGTGATGTGATGCAAAGGACGACATTGGTCCCAAGTTGCTTCGCCTGCACGGCACCTCACAGTGAAAACGGCCGGCGTCTGCGTTTGCCATCTTCCCTCGCAGTGCTCACTCTCTCCCATCTGGCCCCGCCGTTACCACACTTGTCCATGGTCAGCTCCGCAGCTATGGACGAGCAATTGTGCGGTCCATGTTCGCCAGACCGGTGTTTGGATGTCTGCCGCTACGCGGTTGATGCCTGCAGTCTCAGCCGACATCCAATGTTTTCTGGGTCAGTCGCACAATGCCAAGGGCAGCTAGTCTCTTGCCTTCGACTCTCATGATGGCATCGCTGTGAAACGCCGCCGGGGACTTGACCCGTTCAACCGGCAAGCCTAGGTCCTGGCATTTTTCGAGCAGACGCTCGGCATGTTCTGGGGGAACTAGCTCGTCTCTTTCGGCCTCAAGGATGTACATACTTGGCGGCGGACTTCCCTTTTCCCTCGCCGCCTTGGCAATGGTTTCCATGTTTGTCCAACTATCCAAATGATTGCGTAAGAACGGCCAAAGGTGTTTGTATGGAAGCCACTTTTGAGGGTAGAGCGTCTCCAACATGGTCCTGACCGACAAGAACGGGGTCTCGAGGAGCAAGCCTCGGACTGGCAAATTCTGTGGAATCTTGCCTGTCGCAGCAAGGTTGGTGGCCACACCGCAACCGATGCTTTGTCCCCAGAGCAGAAGAATGGGTAGAGGAGCATCCCTGTCTGGTCCGTACAGTTGTTTCTGGTATTCGGAAATCCAGCGCGCACCGGCTTCAGCATCTCGCCTGAGACCAGCTTCCGAGGGCCGGCCCCGGGATGTCCAATAACCTCTGTAACTCAAGCAAACAAAAGTCATCTGTAGAGGTGCCAGGTCCGGGTTGTGGCTGTCACTGACGTTTCGAAGCACCCATGACAGATCCGGCAATCGTGGCGGTATCGAAGCGGCGTTTCCTAGGTGCCCATATCAGCTGCGAGTCCCGGAACGACACGTTGATATGAGGATACAAACCTTGAAAGTAGAGAACATATACATGGGCCCTCGCATCCTTCTTATCTGTAGGGAACTTTCCCTTTTGCATCGGGACGGTTGTAACGGCCATTGCCAGGTCTGTCCCGTCCGCCGCTTGAATCCTCTCATTCGTCCACTTAATTCCACCGCAGTGGTCCGCGTAGTTGTCGATGAGCTCCCATCGTGAGTTGGGAGGGAACCCGGGCATATATATGATCTTGTTCTGGAACACAACTAGCATCATGCACTTCCACACGTATAAAGCAACCAGAAGCCCCACGAACACGACTGGCGGCATCAGCACCGTCGGGATGTGAATGCATTTCGCAGTGCGGCCGCTGCCACTAACGACGGAAAATGTGCATGGCTTGAATGTCAGGGGAACGATCAGAGACCTTGCAGCAGTGACCCCAAATCGTGAACCTCTGATGTAGGTGCTACCGTGACGACAGCTCGAAAGTGAAGATATTGCACGAAGTTGTTCCAACCGGGCCCTTGAGGCGGACACGAGACAGCGAGAAACCATTGGGGGAAACTTATGAGACAATGGCACTTGTCTCACCCGAGCAAACTGCAGGATTTTCCGCAGCTCGTTTCCATTGCATAATCTCGTGTTCAGCTGCCACTTGTCGATTACTCTTCAGTCTCCTGCAAGGTGTTCTGCACATACACCTCCACAACCTCCTTTCGAATCGGAGATTGTTGGCCAGGTTGGGTGGCGCACTCGAGTCGACAGAAGTTCCAGACAATCCGACGTTGGCGCTCTGTGATTCACCCGAAATGCCTCGATAACGTACTGTATGAACCGGTGAGGCAGCAAAGAATGTAATTTGTTCCAAAGAGCGGTTCCAGGCCTTCCGAGGCTTTTTGAAGCCTTCACTCTTCGAGATGATGGGGCTCAGTAGTGGAGAATCTCTCTTGAAGATTGACCGATGTGATCCACAGACATGGAATCGAAGCGGTAATGACGGTGAGCGCCGTCGATATCGAGGATAATAAACGTCGGTTGAGGTCGGTCGGATCTTAATCGATGATGATGCGGGTGATGGTGGACGGCCTCGGGATGATGCCCTTCCCGTTAAGAGTCTAACAGGACCCCTGTACGACCAACCCTTCCCAGTCCGCCCCCTCCAACGAGGCAGGCCCTGGCGTTGCACGGTGCACCCACTGATGTGATCCCCGCATTTGTCCGCTTCAGGGGACCAACCAAGGGGACTAGCGCATGACGGGACATCCCAGCGGGTGGTTGGAATTGGTCCATGACCATGACGATATTCCAAGAGAACCTACCTAAGCGACCCCTCCTTTTCTGTAGTAGACGTGACTTCCTTCCGTTTGATAATCAGGAAGTGATAAAAAAAAAAGTTGGGAGATTCTCCTTCTCATCACATAAATGATAAGTCACTGTATCTGTCCAATAAATACTACCAACCACTGATTACCACCGCGCCACCGCTTCCGAGTGCGCCATTAACTGATCAACACTGCCTTGAGTATTGTGATAGTATCGATCCCTGTGCTCGTCGGTACTTTTTTTTCTTTTTTTTTTCCTGGTTTTTTTTAACCCTTTGGACGCTTTCAGCACGACCACGACCATTCCACGACCTTGCGCAACGCTCGAGAGCAGGCACCGACTACATACCCGCCCGAATACTACCACAACTATGCCGGCTCCTATCGAAGAAAGCAACAACACACCGGGTCACCAATCGCCCGGCCACCACATTGAGCTGGTGGACGATCATCCTTCACCACGACACGAGGGCGAAGCAGGAAGCCCTGCTCTCAGAGACAGCAAAGGCTGGGACGGGAAGCTGCGGGTACCAAAGAGTGCTGTGCTCACAAATCCCGAAGCCTTATCGGATCCGGAATACTCGGACGATGACAACGTTGTTCCCGGCGAGGAGGTTGCAGCGGATGAAGGCAAGCAATTCGAGTGCGCTCAAACACGGACACTAGGCTATTTACATGTCTGAACGATAGTGATAACAAATCGGTGGTAACGAACCTCTGGCTAACCATGTCCGGCTCGTTTGGTTTACAGATCTCCTCGACAACGAGCCCCTCGATACCGATGAGATCATTTGCACCCACTCCCGCATTCAGTCCATCTCAGCATTGCGTCTTGAGCGCTTCAAACAAGTTGCCCGCATTTGCCTTCGCCAAAACCTGATCCAAGATATCGAAGGCCTCGCCGCCGTCGCCGAGACCCTCCAAGATCTTGATCTTTATGACAACCTGATTTCGCACATCGGCCGCGGGCTGACTGACCTGACGAATCTGACCAGTCTGGACCTAAGCTTCAACAAGATAAAGCACATCAAGCACATCAATCACCTGACCAACCTGACGGATCTCTTCTTTGTTTCCAACAAGATCAGCCGCATCGAAGGGTTAGAAGGACTCGACAAGCTGCGCAACCTCGAGCTTGGGTCGAATCGCATTCGCAAATTGCAGAACCTGGACTCGCTCAAGAACCTCGAAGAGCTATGGGTGGCCAAGAACAAAATCACCGAACTCACCGGCCTCGGCGGCCTTCCCAAGCTGCGTCTGCTCAGCATCCAGTCCAATCGGATTCGCGACCTGTCCCCCTTGCGCGAAGTGCCCCAGCTCGAGGAACTGTACATCTCGCACAACGCGCTCGAATCGCTCGAAGGGTTGGAGAACAACACCAAGCTGCGGGTGTTGGACATCTCCAACAACAAGATCGCCAGCCTGAAGGGCATCGGTCCCCTCGCGGAGTTGGAGGAGTTGTGGGCGAGCTATAACATGGTCGGCGACTTCGCCGAGGTGGAGCGAGAACTGAAGGACAAGAAGAATCTGACGACGGTGTATTTTGAGGGGAACCCGTTACAGCTCCGAGCGCCGGCATTGTATAGGAACAAGGTCCGGTTGGCGCTGCCGCAGGTGCAGCAGATTGATGCTAGTAAGTCAACATGCATTACTTATAGAAACTCCAGAAAATTTGCTAACTCTCAAATCACGCAGCTTTCGTCCGCGTATGATGTATATGAATGGCGATTTTGGCGGTTTGCAAAGCATAATAATTGTGTAGTCAAAGTTCATGCAGCATGGCACTGGCGTTCATGGTACTACGGCGTTAGATGGGTTGTTGAAGCAAGACAATCGACAACTTGATGTATTCCCAGTAGATCTCGTTACTACTCTCCTTTGAACCCGTTGCCCTTTGCTTTCCATTCTCACCCTCATATTTGCGTCCATACCATTTTCATCCGACTTCCCCGACGACAGGGCCGACCAACATCTTAGTCCAAACCACCGGGCGATGAAAGGACGGTCGCGTGCGCCTCCGTGTTGAGGTTGATACATGGAGTGGCTAGTATGAATTGTTTTTGTACGATGATGATCAGGTTCACATAGACGATTTCGACAATCACGACAAACAATACAGAGTCAGCACATGTCACGAGCAGGGATCAACGAAAAATAATTTCGAAACAGAAAGATTTGTCAAATCTTGGTTTCTATCGCATTCTACCCCATCTATTTCATAGCTGACAGGATATCAAGCAAACAGGAATTGGCCTAGAGCCGGGAGAGTTGATCTGCCAACAGCCCTTCCCCGGGCCTCGGCAGTAACGACAGTATGCCCCATTATATGTACACATCCCGTCGTTAGGGTACGGTGACCAGCCTTCTCTCCTTCGCGGTGTCTCTAATGGTCGGGGTATGGTTATGTTGATGTTTCCATGAGCGTGTGGTGTGCATTGTGTGTACGGGTCGTGAGAGGTCGTAGCAATTTAGGCGACCATACCCCAATCACGCGCCCGCGTATACAAAAATGCGTTGTGGGTATAATACACATTCAAGGGGTGAAATCAAAAGCTTTTGGAGGGGGGGAGGCGAAAGCCAGCTTTTCCCTAAGCTGCGGAAAAGGTTGACCTAACCGAAAATCCAGAGGTTCTCAGCGGAGAAGTACTGTGAGTTGCCATGTTAGTATATACCTTTCATGCCATGACATATATCTTCTGAGGCCACATTTGGGTGCCGATGAGTGAATGGCAAAAGGAAGTATCAAACTTACGTTGGTGGGCTGGTTGAAGCGGATGCCGCGGTCGAAACCAGACATGGTCTTGATGTCCTCCTCGGAGAGATCGAAATCAAGAGAGTTGAGGTTGGACTTCATGGTGGCCTCGCGGCTAGACTTTGGGATGATGGCCAGGCCACGCTGGGTGGCCCAACGGAGGAGGACCTGGGCAGGATCCTTGTTGTACTTGTCACCAATAGCCTTGATGGTGGGGTCCTCGAGGAGAGGCTGGAGCTTCTGGGCGTGCTCCATGTTGAACTCGCGGAAAGAAGCAGGGCCGAAGGAGGAGTAGGCGGTCACGGCGATGCCCTCAGCCTTGGCAAGATTGAGGAGGTTCTGCTGGACGAGGTAGGGGTGGTGCTCGATCTGGAGAGTGGCGGGGCGGACCTTGGCGTAGCGGAGGAGGTCGTACAAGAGCTGGGCCTGGAAGTTGGAGACGCCAATGCTCTTGGAAAGACCCTTCTCGACGAGCGACTCCATGGCCGTCCAGGTCTCTTGGATGGTGGCCTTGGAGGGGCGAATCTCGCTCTTGCCATCAAAGTGCCAGCCGGGAGGGTAGCGAACCGAGGGGTCGACGTACTCGAGGGCGACGGGGAAGTGAATCAGGTAGAGATCGAAGTACTCGAGACCCCAGTCGGCAAGCTGCTTGCGGACGATGGGCTCGACGCGGTCGCCGTCGTGGAAGGTGTTCCAGAGCTTGGAGACGATGAAGAGCTCCTCGCGCTTGACGATGCCCTCCTTGATGGCGCGGGCTACACCCTGGCCGCACTCAACCTCGTTGCCGTAGTCTGTAACCAAGCCATTTCCAGTCAGTCAACAAGAACCATGCCATCGTGCCTATTGTGTCTTTGATGGCGGTACTATTGTTTTGGGTGAATTCGACGGATAATGTCTCATCCTCCTGCAAGCAGGGTGAGCTGAAGTGACAGGGGTCGATGTGGGGTAGTTGTGTAAATAAGTGTCCATGCCTGCGATGGTATCGCTGCTCCTCATGTCCTTATAAAACAAAAATGGACACCACGAGAGATTGACCATGCGAGGGGAGACGTTGTGTTGACACAATAGGTATTATGTGATGTACAATCGGAAGCGGGAAGTCTTAAACATACCACAGGCACCATCGAAGAGGCGGTAGCCTGCCTTGATAGCGTTGTAGACGACATCGGAAGCGATGGAGCCGTCGACCTTCCAGAGGCCGAAGCCGACCTGGGGCATGTCGAAGCCGGAGTTGAGCTTGATAGCAGGAACCATTTTGTCTGTTGGTGGGATGTAGAGGAGTGTGTGAGACGGAAAGAGATCAAACAAGCCAGGCAAGAGGGTAGAGCGGCTATAATGGTATTTATAACTGCTGCTGTCCGTGTTAAGTGGGTGGAGGCTAGAACTTTCCCGGTCACTCGTAAAGAAACGGCGTGTATGTACAATACCCGGGTGGCCTACTCCAACCTTACCCGGCCCATCCACGGACGAATACTATGCCGGTTGGGGAGCAGAGCTATGACGGTGATGGACTTCGGCTCATGCTGTCCCCTCACTGCCTCCCTCCACCTCCTTCCACATTCATCACCCCCGCGCCTCCGTCTACTCCTCACAGACCCGCTATCAGGTCCCGAGCGTGGCAGACAGGAGCTTGGTTTTCCAGGGACCCTCATCTGGCCTGACAGGATGTCAAGGTAACGTGTTGAGGTGTGCTTCTTCAGGTGCTGTGCGGAATCCTATAAGCTGACTGGTCGCCGGCGATACTCGAAATGCCCAGGGACGGTTGCCTTTCTGGAACCCGGCCATGATTGGCATGGGTAATGGCCCCAAGCCTTGTCAGCTGGCGCAGGGGCCAGGGTATTGGGTACTGGTCATCTTGAACGCCTATTTGCGCGGTTTAAAAGAAATTGGAGAAGGGGTGGGTTCGTCCGACTGCATTGCATCGACATCATGTTGTATACATATGGCGCCAAAGCGGCCTGCCTAAGCGTTTGCTTGTACCTTGATGGTACCTAGCTTTGACCTCGGAGTGGGCTGGTCACCACTAGCAAAGGACGTTTTCCCTCTTAGTCTCTCCAAGTTCTCGGTCTATCTGCGGAGTGACTAGAGAGGGCAGAACGCCTTTACCCAAGGCCTGTCTCACTTGACCTTGAAAATCTTCAATACTGTCAATATCAAGAAATCGTGTTTGGAGCAATTGTTGGAGTCGCTGGAGCCCTCAAGCTGCGGGAGGTGGGGCTGGATATGACCCGATAGCCCGGCTCCAAGTTCCCGTTTAACCTATTTAACCGGAGCCAACCAGAGGCCGTGGCTAATGTGGAAGCGCGAAACGTGATGGATAGAGGCTGGAGTGGGTTTGACAGATGTCTCCACCTCTGTTGTCCTTCACCATGGGGTTGTGCGGGGCAGCGCTAGGATATTTGGCAAAAAGGCACAAACGCCCCCATTGATGCATACCATGATGAAGGGTGGGTCACCGAGGAATCAACGTCAGTTCAACATCCAACCCTCAACTTGATCACGACAAGCAAAAATGGGTGACAGTTCTTGCAGCTTAACTTTTCCTTCACGTCTCCAATGACCCTTTTTCTGTGTCATGTGTGACAACAAAGAAAGCCTGAAACTGCAAGCAGGTTCATATATCATGGAGTGTCCGTTGTCAACTTGCTGTCCACTGTCGAATCAACAAATGCTGGGGATAGGAAACGGATCAGATCAGGGCCGTAAGGCTTTGCGCTGGTTCACGTTCATGCTGAGAACCTCAATTTCGAACCTTCCATGTGACCTTCAGCAATCGTCGCCCAAGTCATTTTCTGGGGGAGAAGAAAAGCCAACGACATGCACACCCACCGCAAAAGTACCTTCCGCTTGATTTTCCTTCTTGTTTCCGACACGACATTTCCCGTGACGAGCTGCTGCAATCATCTGTATGAAAACCCAAGCAACTTCAATAACCAACATATTCCTACCGTGTATCAAAAGACAACCTGTCCGGAAGCAATACGCAGTATGAGGACGCGCTGACCGGACATGCTCCGGATCAAGGTCTTCTCAGGAAGTTGTTGGCATTCCCGTCCAATGACAACCAGATTCGTGTGACAATGGTGGATTATAGCCAGAGGCCCCGTAAGGACCAGCCGGGACTTTCTTGAACAGCCTTATCCTTATATATTGTTTCTTGTGATTGATAATAAGTTGAACCGACCTAGGCACATATGAGGCACATTCTGACATCCAAGCTCTATTCTGATTAGACACTTCGAACATCCTTCGCGTTGGGTGCACAGACGCTGATGTACATGATCCGTCTCACAACAAACCATGAACCACTGCTACCCCAAACGGTGGCGCCACCAAGCAATCGACCCTGAACCGCGATGCAGCTAGCCTGTGGGTTCGTTAACTTTCTTGCGGATCCTTGCGGTCTTCCAGCAATCCTCTTCCGCGTCAGTGGAGGTAGCCGGCGGTATCGAATCAGACAGGAAAGCTTCTTTCTCGCTTCTTTACCTCTCAAAGGGTTTAGATCGAGACCAAGTTCCTGGCTACCGATGCAGTAAGTACCTCGGGCCAGTAACAACACGACATCCTGCTTGTTGACCGGCTGTCAGCGGTCATCGATGCCCCTGCCAAGCTGTCTCTTATGCCGTATAAGCATGAGAGTACCAAGGTTGGTGCTCTTAAAAGGGGGGACGGCAATGTCTGGCTCACCTAACCGCAGCTTTCAGCCCTACGGATTACTGGAACTCCTATCAGGCCCCACTCTGGCATTATGCTGGATCCAAAGCACTAACTCGCCAGTACTGCTTAAATCCTATTTTCGTGATTCTAGTCCAGACCCTGACTCTGACTGTGCCCTTGTAGTTTACCAGACTTAATACTAGTGATAGTGTCGAGCCCATAGTTCGCATACGAACACCTGCAGATATCTGCTTCATCCACGATGCTTATACCTCTCTCCCCCACCGCCTTCACATTATCATTATTTCCAAACACCACAGGCTTCCCCTGAGCATCCCTACAATCCGGCGCCTTTTTCCCTTTGTCACTCTCATCCTCCTCATATGTCTGTTCAAACGTTAACTCAACCGCAAACGGCCACAGCGCAAACACGTTCGTTGCGTTTATCAGTGGTGTAGACACATCGCTGATCTTAGCCGGGTAACTCGCCCTCATGCGCGTCCAGATCGTGCCACGGACGGCCGTCTGATTATACCAGCATATCGCGGGCGCTGGTGTTGGTATTTCTCGCGAAATCGTGTTATCATTGGCCCTCTTTGCTGTTCTTAACCATCTGCGTTTAGAAGGCGTCCCATTACCTTCCTCCCTTCCGTTAGAAGCAGCCTGCGAAGCCGAAGCCGAGGATGATAATACATCAACTGTTATCGATGTCGTTGAGATCATCGAAGAGACTGTCGAAGACAGACTGCTGCTGCTGCCGCTCGTAGTGCTAACATCTGGCACCACCGCCTTCGCCATGGTAAATCCAAACGTGAACCGCTCGCTCGGCTGATTCGCGTCGATCATGGTCAAACTGACGTCTCGGAAGATGCCGGTTGGCGAAAATGGGTCGTCAGAAGAGGAGATGACGTAGGAGAAGGTGGTGGTAGGACGGATGATCCAGCGGAAGGAGGCAGCAGAGATGCTTTCATTTGCGGAAGGAGAGTAAATAGAATAAGGGTAGCATCGCCAGAGGGCAGGATTCCGCTTGGGTGCGCAGGAAGTTGAGAGGTTGGTCAGGGCAGCCGTGAAGGTGTATGAGCCGGCTGGGAAGAGGTCGGTGGGTAATGGGGGACCGGGCTCGGAGGAATGGTGTCTGGCGGAAAGTTTCCGTATTAGCGTTTCTGCGAAACATGGATAATCTTTGTTTCTTTTTTTTTTCAGTAGGGATGAACTATCGCATCACCCATACCCAGTCCACGTAAAGAAGGGAAGCAAGACATATATAGGTACCTTTTCCTCAACCCAACCGTCAAACCAACCGCCAATCCCACAATCAGACCAATTACCAAAATCCCCCAAACCACCACCTTATACCACCCACCCCGTCTTCTGACCCATTCTCCCAGTGCCGTATCCTCCTTCTTCCCTCCCTGTTCTCTCTTAATTCTATCCTCGGTCTTCCCCTTGACTGGTTGCGCCGGGCTGCCATCAGACGTCCACCCCTCCCGATCCCTGTCCCTCATCGGGACTACCCACTCCACAGTCCCATTACTATTAAGCGATATAGACCTTACACTGCCCACTTCTCCTCCTACCGCTCTTATTCCGGGTACTCGTTTCGGTACATATTGTGGTACACTGGTTGATCTATACATTGCCGGTCGCGTGCTGGGTGCGTATAAGCTGCTGTTCGTGCTCAGAACCCCATTACTCCGCGTGAATGACATGGACCGTCGTTGCGGCGATCGAGGTGGTATTGTTGGTTCTGTTGTTGCTTCATGTCGTGGATTCGCTGCGTTCTCGTCCTCCACGATGACGGGCATGGGAATGGGTGTGGAGGAGTGGACTGAGCGGCGGCTCTTGGGGGCCATTCTGTTTTATGGGCTGGACCTTTCCTTTCTCTTCTTATGCTGCTTCAGTTGTTCCTGTTTGAGTCGATCTGATTCGCGGTGTTCCCTGTCCTCAAGCTCGCAATATATATATGTACCCTCCTGCGAGGGTAGAGGTGTATGAGGCAGAAATACCTTATGTGTTACTTCCGCTGGTCGCCGAAATGCTGTCCCAGAGAGTTTTTCAATAGCATGCCGGTTAAATTGGTGTGTAAGAAGGCACCAGGGTAGCTCTAGAATGCTAGAGGAAGAATTTAAGAGAGCTATGAAGAAGAGAAACTCTACTCGCACGTTGAGAAAACTCTATTCGCACGTGGATGTAATTTTGCTTTCTTAAGTATAACTTGATCAAATTTTGATATCAAAAGCCGAGTGTAGTACCAAATTACTCGTCGATTTTTAGCGGATTTTTCAAGGTATAAACCAGGCTCATAGCCTTAAGCGTCATCTAAATCCTTCTTTTCCTAACTTTTGGATATAAAATCCTCTTAATTATTTACTCAATATCTTTTTCTTTCCGTTATGTTTTCTAAGGCTACTAGGAACGAGTGTTCTTCGAAGTAGGGGTGTTAGGTAGAGGAAAAAATGAGGAAAAATCCAATATATTTTTCGTATTCTACTTATACTATTTTAGGTAGGAAAAACGATGTTGAAAATCCTATTTTTTTCCACGTGCGAATAGAGTTTTCTCAACGTGCGAGTAGAGTTTCTCATGAAGAAACCTCCTTTGGAAATATGGTACAGCGAAAAGTGAGATGCGAGTTGCTAGCTCCTCTTCACCATCGCCATTCTTTTCTTCTTATGTATCCGAGAAGGGTGCCGTAAATGTACCTAGAGGTGTAACTATCGTATTGATAAGTAAGAGGGCTGAACCTTGTATTTGCTCATTCTCGTGAGGGCGTCAAAAATCGGAATTGGTATAGAAAGTGCAGGGTGATTTTAAGATTGGTTGTAGGGGTTCATAATGATGGTGATTCCGGGCACGTCTTTCATCACGTCGGGTCTGGCCGCCAGCTAATGATGTAGAAGTACTGATCTTACCGTTCGCTCGTCCTCAGCGATCTCGTTTTCCCCTTTTCCTTCTTTCTTTCCTTTTGTAAACTTATTCACATCTGATCTGACTGCCCAGCCTAGCTTTAGCTATGGTCTGGCTTTCCAAAAGGCACAAACATTATTGTTGATCATTGATGCATGAACGGTTTTAAATCCTATTATGTGCTACTGCCGAGAACCAGGAGTTGCTGAATGGTTGGGAGGAGAAAAGAGGGGAGAGGGGGGTTGGTCCTGGGAATCCTGGATCAATGGAAAAGGCTGGCCGGTTTGCTGGTCTATTTAACCTAGTCCTTTGGCCAGGGATCAAAAGGGGCCGGAGAGGAAGTATCTGACATATAAATTGACGATGTGATGAGCGGTACTTGGAGGTTGACAGAAAGCCACGTGGCGCATAGTTTAAGATGAGCTGTGACATCCTTCTTCCCGGACGGGACTCGTGTCGGTTGATGCGGACGCCATCAGTTTCTGGTAAAGAATAGAGGTCCTCGTTACGTCACCGGGTCTACCCACCGATCTCATATCTGGACAAGGGGAGTAGGGTTGGGAATCATAAGTTACCTTAATTCTTTCTCTGTTTACATTGTACCCGCCATTGACAGGACTCCTGAGGTTGCATCGCAAGACTTTCGATGTCCTTTCCCCCTTTCAATCTTCTTCGACCCTCGCCAATTTGCAGCCAGCACACATAAAAAGCCTGGCTACCCTCCAGTGAAACACTCACCGAAACCTTATGTATCGAATATTCCATACTGTCCGCTGTTCTGTTGGCACAGACACCACGGGGTACATGAAATGCTCAACCCGGTTTGCTGGTCCTATGAATCATGGGCGTTGCTGGTCCGGCTGATGCGCGGCTAGCCCCTGAAGTCGAGCTTCAACCTCTGGGAGAAGCTACAGGTTGTATGGTAGAACCAAGATAAGTAGCCAAAGCTGAACTGAGAATCGCGGGGAGGCGCTCTGCTTAAAGCGGCATAGGCCGGCAGTGGCTTGCATTCTAGATGCCGGAGAGTGGGCTACAATCGGCCTTAGGCTAGCGATACAGGAGTCAGGGCGCTGATGACATCCCCCCCAAATTGTGAGGGCATGGGATCCGGACCAGAAATATCTTCAGGCAGAATGTCGAGGAGATTAGCGAAGTTGATAAGGGACCATGTTACCTGGCACATCGAGTCCATTGATGTGCGATGCCATAAGGTGAGAACGGAGGAAGGAAGAGATTGCGTAGAGGCAGATATATGTAGCCGTATGGGAGAATGAGAATTTCAAGATCATACAACGGGAATGTATGTATGGTAAAAAAAAAAAAAAAATGATGATGGGGTAGGTAGATATATACGTCAATTCTTGATGATATCTATTCCAAAGCAGGTCTCCTATAAGGGCCAAAAATCCAACAATCCAACGGGTCATCGAGTTGGTGTTTCGGGAACGAAAACAGCATCGTCATAGTTCATACACGAAGTTGGTCCTCACCTCATCCAGTACCCGCCATCTCGCTCAGTTCTCCGTCTCAGTCGCATCCTCATACTCCGCCTCCGTCTCCGTGTGCTCGCCCTGTGTAGCCTCCTCATACTCAGTTTGATCGGTTTCTTCCTCGGGGCGAACAATCTCGACTGTGGAATCGCCAATGGAACGTTGCTCAAGACTGTGTTCGGACTCTCTCTGTGTGGCCTGTCCCTCCTGCTCGGCATAAGGGGGCGGGGCAAGATTCTCGCCACCCTCAACCCATACCTTGTTGAGCTCCTTCTCGATCTCCTCACGGCGTGCCTTCCACTTCTCAACCTGCGCAAGACGTTCGCGAAGATCGTGCAGTTCGCGCTCAACATGCATCTTCTCGCTCTCGGTACCAATGCGCTGCAGCTCCCACTCATCGCCTCGCTCACCCATGCCGAGAACGAGATTGTACATGTGGTACTTCTTGAGAGAAGCTCGAGTAGAAATAGTGATCAAAGCTGCGCATGGAGATTAGCATCGACTACTGCTAAAAATACCGGACTTGATACGTACTGATTCCCTTTTCCTTGCAAGTCTCGTAGAGCAGTCCCTCGACATCGCTGGAAACTGCGCTCGTGCCTTCATCGATGAAGGCATACTGTGGCTCGTGGTACAGCAAGCGCGCAATAGCAAGCCTCTGCTTTTCACCACCACTCAGAACGTCCTTCCACTCCTTGCGGGTGTCCCAGCCACCTTCACGTTCAGGCAAATATCCAAGACGGGCTTGGTCCAGGGCGCGCTTCAAGTCGTACTCGTTCTTGCGCTTCTCACGCATGTCGGCCTCGCCGTCGGGATAGATGACCTGATCACGGAGCGTACCGATGCTAAGATATGGCCGTTGTGGGAGGAACATAATGCCATCTTCGCCGTTGTTCTTGGGTCGACTCACAAGACCCCTATACACTGGCCAAAGCCCAGCGATGACTCGCGCAATAGCACTCTTACCCACGCCGTTAGGCCCGGATATCTGTGATGCACGATATGTTAGCTAAAGCAATATTGGGATCTGACCGCGGGATGAAAGCGTACCAGGAGATGCTCGCCACGACGAACAACCATGGAAAGAGATTCGAGAAGCTCCTCGCCTCCCTGTGGCCACAGCGCAGGAGCAACAATGGGCACGTTCTCCAGGCGGACACCGTCAAAGCCCTTCTGAATGGTACCCTGTACGTCTGACAACGAGTAGAGCTCGTTTTCGCGACCTCTGACGTAGTATGCGTTCGCGTGGGCTCTGTGAAGAGTGGAAATCAGTGTATACACGCGACTGGTGTAACCGGCCAACTCTGAAAGATCTTTGATGGAGTACATCATGCGACCACCAGCATCGGCAAGCGAGAGCATGAGACGTTTGTTGGTAATGAAGTCTTTCATGCGGGTGCGTTCGCGGCCGCCCTTCTCGGCGTGCTCTGCCTGTTGCTCGCTTGCCCCTCCAAGACCTCCCCAGGCTGGCAGGAAGACAGGAAGGGAAGAGAGGAGATAGCCGTAAGCGCTCCAGCTGTATTTGAGGATGAAGTCTTCAAGAATGTTGTATCTGATCTTGAGCATGTAGATACCCTCCATCCAGTTCTTGAGAGACTTAAATTCCCTGTTCAGGAATGTCTTCTCCATCTCGGCGCCGCCATAGAAAGCGATTTCCTCCGCGTTTGCGATTAGGCGTGCATGAAGTCCTCTAAAGTCACCTTCCTTCCGTCCTTCCACTGCCTTGAGTTTGCCGAAAGGTGGCGAGAGTCGACGCAGGATACTGGCCGTCAAGAAGTAGTTGCTCAGGAGACCAGTGAGAGCCAGTGGGCCGAGCGAGCGGTAAAGTTGGTAGTTGAACACGCAGATATCAACAAATGGCTTTCCGAGAGAGGAGTAAAGGTTAGCGGCAGCAGCACAGAACAGAGTCAGATCCTGAGTGATGAACTGATCCGCTCCCTGTCCGACCCCACCATCCAGGTTCGACAGTTTGTAATAGTTGAGGTTATCGTTCAAATACAAGTCGTGGATGTACCGGGTAAGACGTGTTCGGAAAGCAATCGACACCTTAGACTCGAGGTATTTGATGGTAGCGTTGACATAGGAAGCAAACCCGCCCAGTCCACACCACTTGACAATGCCCAGGAGGAACTGTTTGCCATTCCCAGCCACCAGATCACGCACAATCTCACCATCTAGGCGGGCAACGACCAGAGAAAGGTAAGTACGAAGCATGAGGAAGATTCCATGGCTAACAAGCAAGCCGGCCTCTTTGCTCTTCCATCGAGGAACCATAATGCTCATTAGACTGAGGAATTGATGGAGGAAGGCAAGATTAAGACCGGGTTTCGTCTGAGCCGAAGGGACGTGACCGTCGCCGAGGCCTGAGACCCGTGGGGGATTCAGGAACAGACGTCTATGGGCCTCAAAGGTGAGCGGCTTCGTACTATGGATAACGACCTTGGAAGTGCCGTCCTTGTAGGGTACGTAAATAGTCCTCGATCCGTCCTTGTTGTGCAACCATGAGTTGGTGCGCACCAACTTCCGGCCTTGCTCCCTATCCTCACGTCGGCGCCTCCACCATCTCCGCGTACCCTCGCCAGATAATATGATGGATGTCGCAAGTGCGAGGGTCGCGAGAAGACGTGTCGTCCTGGTCGTCGTCTTCAATTTGGAGCGAATAAGCTCAGTGTATTTGTTGATGAAGGACGCGATGGCCTCCTCGGCCGCGGAGCCTCGTAGGGTTGATTGCGCCGCCATGATGCCGATGGGCGTCGCTACCGTCGCTGGCTTCCACTTCAGGTAGTATCGAGTCCCGATAGATCCTCGGGGATCAACAGCCAACGCTTGCCCTTAGCATCCGGCTGAACACAAATTACGCGCGGCTGGGCGCAAGATGATACGGCGATGCGATGATTGTGCGTCGTGTGGTCTCGAAGGAAGTTCGCTTCAGCGATATGCGGACAGCGGGGATCGCGAGTTGTTGAGGTTGGGCTTGAATGTAGAAGGAAGAATAACCGATGGGAACTTGAGGGAACACTCGCTTGTCTACACTACTATAAAGGCTAAAACGATGTCGCCAGGATGATGACGGATCGAAAACTGGCCAAATGCCGTGTCCAGGCAAAGGATGGTTAGCATGGCGGCCAACAGTAGCATAGCCGTGACATGTGATCGATACACCGAATTGACCCCCGGTCCGGTGTCTGGACTGCGAACATTCCGAGGTGCACGGCCAGAAGTTCAATATGAACCAATGGGAGGCGGCCAGTTCACCAGCAAAGAGGAACGTCATCAGCTGCATCGCTTTCAAAGGCCCACTCTTGTCCTGGGGAAAGCTGGGGAAGCCGCTCTCTGGACTCCTGGAGCACAGACCACCTCCCCCAGGTTCCCCATTGTCCAGGCAGAGTTGTCCAAGGTTCGTCGGCTCATGTTTGCCATGTGCTGAGGAGTATCTCCAAATCTGGCTCTCCTGTTCTGTCGCACCTTGTGTCACTTGAGTGGACTTCTTTGCCAGAGAGATGGCCGCGACAAAACAGTCAGCTTACACTCACGGTTAGGTAGCCCTGACCTACCAGGGAGTCCATCTTAACAAGATCGCTTTAGTATCAGATCTGGAGTGTTTCAGTGTTACTTTGGCGAAGACAGGGCAACCCTCGCAAGAGCCAAAGAACTCGAGATCGAAGCTCGAGAGAAGAGGTGGAGGAGCTTCCAACCCCACGGTTATAGGACATCACCGTCGGTTCCAAGGACTTGGGTTTTGGCCTCTTTTTCTGGCCTGGCTTGCTTGCCGTCACTGCTTGCTTGGGTCGGGAGCACGCAGCTTGCTTGGGTACGAGCGTCCTATCTGCAGACCATATGGCCCTGCGTCTTGTCTTGTGCTCACGTTGTTGCGGCTCTTATTTGAAATGCTGGACGGGGGCGATATCAATTCCCGCAGACGGATCTCACAAGAGCTTATAGTCTCAACCCGCGTTCTCCGCGTCAGGTACGAAGGTCAGGTATGCATGCAGAAAGGAGGTGAAGATGCGCACACGGCTTCGCGGCTCCTTGGCTGCTTTGACTTTTCAAAAACTTGATAGGACCACGGAACGAGTGGCGAGCAAGAAGACAGACCTCAAAGCAAGCGCTTTGGATAAGTATCCCTTTGTATGAATTCGGCCATCCGACAATCCGCACTCGTCAATCCACCAAGAGCTCGAGTTCATCAAAAAGCTCCCTGCGCTCTTCAGCGTCGACTACTGTGCAAAGAAACTCTGGTTAAAGTGGACGAAACTGTGATGAGCACACAGTATACGGCGGCCGATGTGAATGGTCACGGATCACCACAGCGCATAGTCCCGAATCCAACCCATCACTGTAACGGGCGCCAACGTGGCCAATCATGAGGCCCAGTTGCAGCTCCCAGGCTCTTTTGGCTCTGGAACGGTCGCTGTCAACTGGGGCTGCTCAGGGCTGGACGAGGTCTAGCATCCCCGGGCCGAGGAATGCGGATGACAGAAGGGGCACCCAGCATTCCACTTCTGCAGGGCGAGTGTGGATTGATTTGTCTGTTGATGGAGCCGTAGAGGCCATTGTGGACTCTGACAGCTGGGTTGCCCTGGAGAGTGCCGTTAATGAAGCCAGCGAGTTGGCTGTCGACATCGACGGACATCGAAGGGAGTTATTCGATGATGAGCTACTTGAAACATGCTGACAGGGGCCGTGGAGATTTGGTCATCTATGCGACGTCTAAATGGCAAAATATGAGCAGGAATTCTCTCATTCATTGAAGCATTTCCGGTACCTTGTTAGACTTGTGTCTCTCGTGGGGACGCACTCATAAACCGGTGCCCTGGCATTGGACCCATGAGAAAAAGAATGGAGCCTACCTCTTTGCCTATGGGAACAGCCGTGGCTGCTTCATTTTACCCCTACCATCCTTATTAAGGAGCCTCACTGGCTAGTTCAGTGCGCAACTGTAGAGAGATTTGAGACCAGAACCAGGTCAATCTTGTTATTGCTTGTTGGAAGGCTTGAACGTGCGACAACCTGGGTCAAGTTTCTTCTCTTCTCACCGATTGAAGGGATTACATCCTCTACCACAACGTCTTTGAAGTTCCAGGGTGTAAAGACACGAGGGACAAACGCTCAGCGTATACAGACGCAACAGTTCTCGATGAACTGCTCAATGTCACCAACAGGTCCAAGCACACGAGACATTCAGAGCGGTCAATAACAAAAGCTGACCTTTGCTGCAGGTTGCCAGTAACGTTGCGAGGTGGTAGCTCGGAGCCAGGCAAGGGGAGCAGAGGACACAGTCGCACGGCCATGGAGGTGAACAGGGTATCTATGTAGCGGAAATTTGACGGGACTGCTTGACTGACAACCTAGCTATGCCTAGCATTGATGGGAGATAAGGCGCCCATGGGTGAGATGGGCCTTTTGGGGAAACATTTGACAGCCTCAAGGAACGGGACGGGAGTCCATTGGGTTCCACCGATGTCTGACAGTCAGCGCGTTCCGCCGGGCATTATATAGGTATGTAAGATAGCTATTATCGACTGCAATTGCACCGTTGATAGGTGAGCTCGGAGCCTTTGGTTTGTGAGAAAAGTCAGCGTGAAGACGCAAGGTGTTGTCCAATACAGAGGTTAGCGTATGCGCGGTAGCTCTGCCGGACGGGGCCATGCTGGATTCTTTTGAACATGATCCGACGGAAATTGTTCTCGGAGTGCTGTGGTGCTGGGCACTTCCACTTTCACTAGGTACCTTCTTCAGATACCGTATCGATACTAGGTCTGTGGAGATACCACCATGTTGAGAGTTGACCCCCCCACGGCCCAGCTTGGGAGGAATAAAACCCCCTCTTCAGCCCAAAGGCTTCTAGACCCCAAGAAAGAACGTGTCGGGAGAGAAAGACGAAACCGAGAAACCAAAATCAAGTGTAACAGAAAAAAAAAAAGGAGAGTGGGTGAGGTGGGCAGCAGCAAACATCACGACCGGGACCCTCCATCCTTACGACGTGCAGCAGCGGGACCGGACTGCACGAATTTAGCGGCTGCAGGTGGTTGTGGGTACTTTGTGGGTGCAAAGAGCCGATGGACTGTGTTAGCGCATTTCTTGTTCCATGCCGATGCCCACCACTAAAATTGCATGGCCAGCTATCCCATCTTATCCTGCTGCACTGCGCAGGGCCGTACTGGCGTCGCCTGATGGTCATTCGGTCGCTGGCTAATCTCTTCGGGGCAATCCACTAATCCTCTCTCGTCGCATCCGCTTCCCAATCGTCCTCTCTGCACCGTGAACAATCCTAGAAGCGACCCCATAACCTTTTAAAGTCAATCATTTCGCTTGCGCTCTCACGACCTCCAGCTTTTGATACGCCCTTCTTTCCCTCTTTTCTGCTTCTGCCCAACCTCCGGCCCGTCCACCACGTCGTCGCCGTTTCTCCTTCTTTGGCCCGCCCTTTTGGTCCTCGATACCCCTTCTTGATCTTTTTTTTTGTGCCCTTCTAGGTTCTGGGTCCTTTCTGGCTAATCAAGCACGCAAGGCGTGCCCGTGTGTGACTGTGTTTCTGGTCGACCTCCTGCCGACATACCCCCCGACGCTCTCGGCCTCCGCGCGCCAATTTTCCCACCTGCAACGGCAACCGCGGCCGGAATCAGCGTTGTCGCGATCATTATTTCTCTTTACTTTTTGCGGAACTCGAAGCCTGTCGCCTACCTATCGACCAGACGGCCGAAACCCGTTAAGGAGTCCAGGGCCTCCAAGGGCTAATACCTACTCTCCCGAACGAAGGGTAGTATAGGGGCTAGGCTTTATTAGATTGGCGAAAGCTGGATTCGGTTGGGACCAAGAGGTTGGTGACTTTTTCTCTTCTTTACAATTTCAATGCAGTCCAACGTTCCAAACAGTCCGTTTCACCTTCGTTGTTCCTGTCTCGCTGGCTGCCTCTGTCGCTGCCTGCCATCCACGTTGCCACTGATCGCATCGCGCTGCCCCCAATCCCCAATTGATTGGTGCTGCAAGGCTGTCAACGGGTCTCGTACGCCTCACTATTCAAACCCAACCGCCGCAAACTTCAGCTCCTACTACGACGCAATCCCTAAGACCACGCGCTGATAGCTCTCTGCGTTGAGGGGTCCAGACATTCATTTTCTATCCGTAATCAAAGACACCATCTCAAATGGCATTGAGCGCGGACGACACAACCCTGTCAGCCCCTGGCAGTTCGAAGGAGATGCAGACCCACGACGAAGCAATGGCAACTAAAAGAGGTAGCGACCGCCTACGTGTGACCTTCCGAATCACAGTCATGATTTATGAGCCTTTCAATTCTCATGCAGTGCAAATGGGCTAATTGGCGGTATCACAGGCGACCGCGACAGCATCGGTGGAAACTCGAGAAACTCAAGAAGCAGTACGTTATATTGAAATTTGGATGGCAACCCATTTAGTAACCAGTTGTGTACAGGAACTAGAGCAACCGCCGCCATGAGCAACTCGAACCCGGTAGCACCCAAGAAGAAGAAGGGCGGCTTCCTCGCCATCTTTGGCTGCTGCGGCGTCCCTGATGATGCGAACGGCCTCGACACCCCGGTACCAAGCCACAAGCTCGACAGGATCCCCCCTAGACCGGCGACCGCGAGCAGGCGAACAGCAACCCCGTCCGAGCAGCCCTCCGCGAGCAAGACCCAACTTTCTGAGAAGGAGCCAGCTCAGCAATCTCAGCCGACCCAGGAACAGTCGAAGAACGGGAAGCGGGTATCAGGAACGAGTACTCAGGATCAGTCGACAGTTGGCGAAAAGGATGGAGAGTCAAAGCAGACCACGATCGTTGGCCCCGGCTCAAGTAGCCCACTGGCATCGGTAGAGCCGCCACAGCAGACCAACAAGGAAGTGGAGGTGGTTGAGGAGGTGGTCAATGAGAAGGACGAGGAAGGGGACGTGCAGATGCCCGATGCCGCCGAGGAATCACAACAAGCTTCACATGCGGCCGATGCCACGACTGAGGAATCGTACACAAACCTTCCCCCGCCACCTCCGGGCCCGGTTCCCGCAGCTACAACTCCGCCAACAAGCGGCGCGCTAATTGAGAGCCCTCCTGTCTTTCCTCCCGACCAACCTCAGAAGTTCCTACTCCCTCCTCAAGCACCTGAGTTCAAGGGTAAGAAGTGCCTTGTTCTAGATTTGGATGAAACCCTCGTACACAGCTCCTTCAAGGTTAGTTCTGCACCCATCTTCCTATTTTCTAGTTCGCTTGCTGACGGTTCGAATTATAGATCCTTCACCAGGCCGATTTCACGATACCTGTTGAAATCGAAGGCAACTACCATAATGTCTATGTCATCAAGCGGCCAGGTGTAGATCAGTTTATGAAGAGAGTTGGCGAGCTTTACGAAGTTGTTGTCTTCACTGCATCGGTTTCCAAGGTACGTGAAATGCAACCATTCGAAAGCTTTTGGCAACTCAAATACTAACGATGCTCAGTACGGTGATCCGCTGCTGGACCAATTGGACATCCACAATGTTGTCCACCATCGTCTTTTCCGCGAAAGTTGCTACAACCATCAAGGAAACTACGTCAAAGACCTGTCACAGGTTGGCCGTGACCTTAAAGACACCATTATCATCGACAACTCACCAACCTCGTACATTTTCCACCCTCAGCACGCCGTACCCATCAGCAGTTGGTTCTCAGATGCGCATGACAACGAGCTATTGGATCTCATTCCCGTCCTAGAAGACCTTGCTGGTGCCAACGTGCAAGACGTTAGCCTGGTACTGGACGTCACTCTTTGAAGCGTTCAGCTTGAAAGCTTTCCGTGTTGATCATACACCTCGCGTATGTATGGCCCAAAGGCCCGTTCATTGCGGGGTGTTTTGGTTCATATTTGTCTCAAGCGAAGAGGCGTAAATGCGTCATACTGTCTAATCATCTAAATCTGGCCTGGCGGGTTTCGCAGACATGACTATATGGTTACGACCCCACCTTCACAGATCCGAGAGGTTACGGCCACCCAAATGGCGGTCCGTTGCATATGAAGGGATATGCGCAGGATTACCGCTCTTGTGCCTGGTCATTCCGAGCTCCGTCAAATGAAAACGGCGAGAGAAAGTTCTGATGGGTCCGGCATAATTCGAGAATGGATCTGAAAGGAACCGGGGGATTGCGGCGTGGTGCAACCCAGTGTGAAGCGTAAAAGCCATCCGTACACAGCGACGTCCTTGTCATAACGCCGGGCTTCAATTATCGAACGGCAGGGGGAATGGGGGAGGGAAGAGATGGATGCAGCATTACCCAGTGCCATTATTTATTGTTCCGAGCTGCCAGCGGAGGAACGGTGTTGTACTGTGGTTGGTTTGTCTTGCGTGTCAGCGGGCGCAAAGTTCTTGCTTAGCGCGCACATACACCCGAGTGCTTGTAGGGTGTCTATAGTGTTGTTTTCTTTTGTCAGCTTTTTGTCTTTTTTATCATGTGTCCTCCCGGTTTCTCATCTACTTCTTCTCCCATCGGGCTTCTCTTCTAATTCCCCCTTACTCACAGGCACACTGTTCTTTGTCATAACATGTATACAATGGATGTTTTGAATGCTCGCTCCTTGCTGGCTCGGAGGGATAAAAAAAAGACAACAGCATCTGGCATCCCGTTATACCCCAGAAATACCCACGCTACTCAATTGATCGAAGCAATTACCGACTCCCTCCAAAAGTTTCGCTCAGTGGATAGACCGACGTGTATCAATTGGCCGCCAGGATTCATTTGGCAGTGGTTTGGATCAAAGGTGCAGAAAAGAGCATGGCGATCTGGGCGACGCCTTTTTTCAGCAGGAAGCATCAGGCCCACTGCGGGTGAATGGTCTCGTTCCCCGCCGCTCACCTCAACTGTTCGTCTAGAACTTACACAACTCCAAGTTACCATCAAAGAAGTACCAGTATCAAACAAACTATCTTGAAGAATAGATCGACATTGGCATTCCCGTGTACACTAGAATCCTTTTACCAAACTCCTGGGAGAGACAGGGCAATCGAAAGCCAAAACGGAAGGTTGGCGTGACCACAGTACTATGCAGTAGCCTACAGCCCCCATTATTCAGTCGCAAAGCCTCCTCGTATGGGACATTCCAAATCGCAATGGTGACTTGCCCAGTTAAAGCTGCTTTTGGTATATCCCTCTGGGTTCGGTCTCTCACGTAGCAATAAGAAATCTTCGTTCACAGAAGCATCAAGCTCATCGAGTTAACGTAGAGCCTTATTATATATACCGCTTCATCGTTCATTATGCACTTCGTTGCAACAAGAACCTCATGTTGAGCTGATGGCGATGGTGACCACGATCACTGCAGCAATGCAAGGGGCAGGGGACCCTGCAACGTCGCTTGGCATCCGTCCGATTTGCACCTGAAATCCGGGGATTTGAAGAATGCCCCCACAGTTCCTCCTTGACCAGATCCGTTCGTCTCAACCCTGCAGGAGTGACAAGGAGCCGCTCAGGTACCGTGTCAGCGTGTGCCTTGCGAACTTCCAGCCCCAAGTGGAAAGCGCAGCTTTCACCCAGGACCCACCGAATTATGCGTGCTCGGCGAATGGCGGAATGAGAGGGACGGACTTGCGGCCCAAGCTTTCACCTTGCCAGCCCTGGCGAGCGGCAAACCCAGCTTTGGCTCGCTTGGTCCGGCCGGCAAGCAATCTTTCCAAACCGTGGCCTCAATTGGAAGCACAGACCAAGCCCGCGATTATTAGGGGGACCCGTGGAACTAAACAAGGTAGGCATCCTCGCATCTCCCAAAAGCTTCCACCATTGAATCACGGCCACGATCATCACCACACCACCATCCACGCGACGACAATTTAAAGCAGGAGCGATACTTTAAAATACCCTCCTCTTCTCGCTTCATTCCTTTTTCTTCCTTTCGCAGCTTAATCTCCTCTTAATATTCTTTGTCACAATGGTACGTTCTGCAAGTCTACAGCAGCTAGCTTCTCTCTGCTTTGCTGTTCATATGATCACAATGCCTCGTGAACCATGTTCTGCTACTTTCTGATCGCGTTGTGAAATACGTGATACTGTAACATAGCTAACGGTGCAACCCCAACCAGTCTTCTCCTCGTGCCTCCTCGCCCAGCTCCCCGCCCGCTGGCGGCGCTACCGGTGTTAGCTCTGCGCGCCCCTCCTCGCCTCCTCCCCCGGGCGGTGCTCGTACCGCCATCCGTCGCCGTGCTGCTGCCGACCAGAAGGAGAAGATTGCCAATGCTCGCCCCAACAGCACGCGCGCCGCTGGTGCCGGTGGCTCCAGCAGCACCATGCTCCGTCTTTACACCGACGAGAGCCCCGGCCTCAAGGTCGACCCCGTTGTTGTCCTGGTTCTGTCGCTGGTCTTCATCTTCAGCGTCGTCGCTCTTCACAGTACGTTTAGTCCGTCTTGTCTTTTGGGCAACGCCTTGTAGTTTCCTTGAAACAACGGGTTTCTTTTAAGGCAGATAAACAGCAGCGAGCATATGGCTGACATAACTTTTCTCTTCAGTCATTGCCAAGATCACCCGCAAATTCTCCAGCTAAACGGGCTGGGCATCAGCAAACAACAATGCTATCCGGAGCGATTTGGTTTCTCTTTTGCCGCGGCGGCTCACCACAAGGTAGTGGTTGAGACGAAACCCGAAACGATGAATGACAGCGACATACAACAACTATGCCATATTCACACGAAACACACAATGGCACAGATGCGACCTCCTTGCTGCTGCGGTCTTGGCAGGAAACGATAAACCATTAAATGATCTGTCTCATTTGCCCAAAGACACAACAATATTTCGGGAGAGGTAGTGGGTAGTACCGGTAGTAGGCGCCCCTGAGCTCGGCTGGGGTGCTTGTTTCGCTTCGTACATAATAACAGAAGGAAGGATATCAAGGGACGAACAGAGTGGGCGCGTTTGGGAATCTGGGGACTGGTGGAAAATTCATGGCCAACCAAAAGGAATTTGCTCATGAAAGGGTTAAAGAAAACGATGGAACCCATGCAAACCTTTTTAGGTCTCCCAGAGCGCATAGATATCCCCCATCGGCTTTCAGAGCTTTGAGGGGATGATAAATATGGAGGGAAATGATTATTGTTTTTTTTTTTTTTTTATCTGTTCGTTTTTACCATGTAACCTAGCTTGTACGATGACAATTTGATTTCCTCTTTTTGTGGAAGGTAGACGGGATTGAAAATGAGTCTTCCCACTTCAAACCATACTCGTGTCTTCTACCCGTTCTTTGTGAGTGTCTCTTCTCCCTTGTAGTTGGATGACGTTAGAAGTCCGTGCCCTGGGCCGCCTTCACTCGGCCTTGCCCATTCACTGGCACACCCTTTCGGGTACTTATATCTATGCTACCTGCTGTGGTTTCGTTTCTCCTCTTTCGTTGAACAACTTCTCCAGAATCGAGCCCTTTTCGTTGTCGCCTTCTAGCCTCCTCCGACAAATAGTTTCCATCTCAATCTGGATCATAGTCCCAAAGGGATATGACAGAGACTCCTCCTAGTCTCTATACCCACATACCTACTGGGTTTCCCACAATTTCACGATGACGCTACTTAGCCGAGTTATATGATAACTCTCGCGTATCTCTTGTCGCACTGACTTCTTGAAAACGAGAATGTGACGCCTTATCCGCGTCCATCTCAGGCTACGCCTCCGAGGTCTTCTTGTGGCGTTCGTTTTCCAAGGTGAGACCCGTGCTAGTTAGTGTATGTAATCCAGACTTAAGTTTGGTCTTCTTTCTAAGGGGCAAATTGGGTCGTTCAGGAAGTGTACACGTGTAGAAGAACATGTGTTTTTGTGGCTTTCTGTTCAAACAAGTCTCTCATTATGGGGGAAGGGCTGCCGGAAGTGATGTCGCTTTGGGAGGTGTGTGTGCGTGTGTGTGCGTGTGTGTGTTGAAAGTTGAATGCTCGACTCTTGATGATATTTGGGAGATGTACTACCGTAGGTACTCTCATCATTGACGGCTGTGTATGTCACTATGTCACTATATTGGTAGTCTGAAAGGCAATTGGGGCTACAAGACGGTATCAGATGCAGCCTTGTTGTTGGAGTGCTGTTGCTGTGTCACGTCGAGGGTTTTTTTTTTTTTTTTTTTTTTTTTTTTTTTTTTTTTTTCACTCATATACGTGCCTCGTCTAACGCAGTCGTGTATGCTGAGGAATTGAACGGCACAAGTACCGTATAGATTAGACTCAGGGCATAGGGCTTGAGGTTTCCTGAAAATCAGGCATAATCTGTAAGCATATTGCAACATTCATACCCTCCAGAAATTGTACTCAAGACGGTGATGTTCAATGTCTCCACCCTCCAGCGCCTTTGAAGAGATAGATAGTATAGGGGGGGGACGTAGAAGAATCTGATTTTCATTCCTCCAGGGTTCGGTTAGTTGGTGGTTTGTATGCAGACGATGCGTACGTATATGGGTACGTAAATGCTTCCACCACCAGCAATGCCGGTGCGTTGCATATAACCTCAGAAGCTAGAACGCGTAAACATGTTTGCACTGAGGTACTACGATTTGAAGAGGGAATTCCCTTGGTATAATATATGTGGGATTGTTGCCCTGGGACTGCATCCGGCAGGATATGTCCTAGGGGTAAGGCTTCTTCTACCTACCTAGGCTTTCCCCTTGTCGAGCTTTGAGTCGAACTGTGGTTATTATTAGGGTTGGTCAGGGAATGTAATGTCTTGGATCCTCATGTTGTCCCATGGTACTGTAGAACATTCCACGCAAAAAGCTCCGGCAGCGCTAATGCGAGGAAGCCATGCGCATCACATCCACTTGGGTTCCACGAACGATCAACTTGCGGACTTCAAAGTGATGTAAAACCGCCCAGCGGGTAAGACTCGAGTTGGGTGCAGATATGTACTGCGCGCAGCGAGCTACGCTCGCTATGAGAACGGCTTATCCCTTCCCCCTGGCTGGTGCCGGCCAAGAACCCCTCCCCACCTGTGCCTTGCTTTTGGCTCGTACATATCGTTCCCGCGATGGCGGCCCTGCATCGCGGGCGATCTGACTGTTGCATGTATCTGAGTGGTGGCTGATCCCAAGCTATGTGTATGCACTTCGTCATCCTCTTCTCCCTCTTGAACGAGGAAAAGAATAGGTAGGCGGTGGGCAAGTACCTGTGTCGTGACATGTTCCTAAGGACTGCAACAAGCTGTATGGGTATCTGAAGAGTGTGGACGGACGTCCTGTGTTCACTTATCGAACAACCAAATTGGCAAAGGACTCAGCTCAAGTTTAACACGTGCGAGCGTTAGTTCCAGGAGTCATCTTACGCTGGAATGGTAGGGTCAAATGTATGAGGATTTGTCGGAGATGCCTACACATGTATGCTAACGTTGTAGGGTAACCGATTAGCAGCGTAGTTGCCGTGGGGAACATGACGACCCTGAAATACTTTACCATCAAGCATTCTGAGCCATCCCCAACGTGCCGCATGAGTTTATATTAATGCTCCCTCGGCTGCTTGGTAGCGGGGTTGTCCGCCAGCCATTCGAGTTCTGATCACCAACAAGGTGGTCCCATGGGAACACTGGTGCCTCTCTTTGCATGCAATTAAATGGACGCCTAGAACCGAGAAGCCCATCCGGCCGGTTCTGCCGTTTTGGTGTGGTTGCTATGACCGACCCTATTGCAACCACAGCTTCTCCAGAGGTAACGTCTGCTGCTATGGGAAAAGTGGTCTGAGAAGTCTCCTACTTAACTATGTTTGCCTGTTATGGTGTAAAGAGTGGAATAGTCGCCGGCCGCCACGAAGCTCAGACGATAGACCATAGCTTGTAAAGTCGGTACATGCGCAGCTCTGCGATTTCTCGCTATACACTAGTATTGTGGCCATCACCAGCCGTCCTCGTTGGGAGATTCACTCACTTGATGAAGGAGGATCCCGGCTGACATGATGACGAGCGTTGTTCGGTTGAGGTCGGCAAGTGGAGAACATCATGATCGATGTGGTAAGGTCCGGGGATAGTCGAATCTTCCACTGCTTCTCCCATTGGTGCCGTTTCGCCGTTGTGTTAAGTTAGCGATTCCAACCTCGTGGCCCCCAGGCACACTTTACTCAGCTGGGCAGGTAAGATTGCACATCAAGTCCGAATGCCCAACATTTGAGAAACAAGAGCGAGAAGACGAATACGTAGACATACATACACTACCTCTAGGCACGCGCCCTCGTAACCTGCCCCATCACGCGAGACTTGCTGTCGTGTTCGCCGAGTTCACGGCCAGAAAAAAACCGAGCAAATGACAGGTTCTGTCTGTGAAAGCTCCTGTACTCGGTGTTTACAGTCATCATGAAACCAAGCTGATCGCAAAGTTAAGTACTGTAGGTTATGCTCAACCCGGATCCAACTGAATCGGCCCTGTTGGAGAAAGGGGCCGGGAGATAATTGAGTGCCAAGATCAACGGGCGGTACCTGATCATTGATGTTCAACGTCATTTCGCCGGGCTGTTGCAACTTGCAAGACGGGCAATGACAACCCAGGCTGTGTGAGTGGTGAGAGGAGGCAGTGAGCGGGCAGTGACTGTGGTGAAGTGGACTCTGAAGTGCCCGCCAGAGCGCCTGTCCGCTGTGTGAGAAGCCACCTGCAGCCCATCCGCGTGGATACCTACTAGACTGTTAGTTCCCTGTAGTGCAATTCATCTGGGCGCCCCCGCCGGCTTTTCACTTCCACTTTCACTCCGGAAATCCACCTCTCAACCTCAACGTCGGGTCCTAGAGGTAGTGCTCAGTCTCGCCAGTCTCACACCACTAGAAGGGAAAACAGACGGGAATGCCCCCATTCCTCGCCAATTCACACGACTCGCGCACTGTTCACTCGGTCCCCATTCATACCAGAATCAGGCAAGCAGGAGACAGAACCGACGCGAGAATGCTGGAAGTTGCAACGGCCACTGCGAGCCGACCACAGCAGGATTAGTGAAGAAACGCTGAGATTACCAAGAAGTACCACTCGGCACTGCCTCGGGGAGTCAGGGCAAACCAGTCAACCCATCACCATCCCGCAGACTCTCTTCCCATCTCCCGTCCCCAGATCCGGGTCTGGTTGAGATCTCTCCACTATACAGTACACGCTACAAATCGCGGCAAGCCAATTCCTATCCTACAGTCCTCAACTCTACTCTTATTCCTTGGCAACAGACCATAGGTTTATAGAGGCTCTATCCAGGCTTCTATGCACCTTCCATCGTTCGTCGGACAAGGACCACTAAGTGTACTACGGTGTGTTGTCGATATAGCTCGGCTCCCAAGCTCTCTACCTAAGGAAGGCTACTCAACCTGCTTGCTTGGCTTACAGCGTGCATGCCAGCTCCTGAACTCCTGATTCAACTTCCGCCGCATGTCTAAAAGTATCCCCCGTACCGCCGCCCGTCATCCGTCCAACCTGGAGGCCATCCGCTCCACTCCCATTCTCCGTCTTTGCCCGCTCGTCTCTCCAGTCGTCGCTTCCACAGCTTCGACGGATATTGGTCTCAATTCTGCGATCTAAAGTCGTAAACCGATCTTGCGACAGGCCCAGCGAGTTGTTAGACAGGATCCTAATCGGAGGAGCATTCACCAACTCCTTTGCCTGACTGGCCACTGCCAGCTGGTAGCTGCATGCGCATCGCAGCATCGCATTGAGCCACAACGAGCCGGCCCCCCAAGACGATTCTCACTTTGCGCACCGGTCGCGCGTGCCTCCGCACTCTCTTCAATCTCGAAGCGACCTTCGTTACTCTCTTCCTCGGACTCGGACATACCACTGCAGTTCGTTTTTTTTGCGAATGGTTACAGATACAACGCTGCTCGCTGCCGTCGCCCGTCCGAGCTTATGCTGCGCAGCTGTAGCCAACACTGTGACTTGGCCCCAAACTACCTACGCGCTCCTCCAGTTTACCTTCCACCCATAGCATTATGGCAGGATTCTTCAACAAACTCAAAGGCGCAGGTGCAGTATGTTGAATAACTCCTTTTGACTTCTGTCCTGTGTCGCTAACAAGCTCATGCAGGGAAGCTCCAAAACCGACAGCAATGCCTCGTCTAAGAACAAAAAGGACGAGCCGGCGGTGGAATTGACTCCCCTTGAGAGAATACTGCAAAATGCTGGGCCTCTTCGGGAAGATGGAAGCGACAAGTACTTTGGCTTGGAAAATGTAGGACCGCATTTTGGAACCTTGCTGTGTGGATGATGTCGCTAACACAAATGAGTTTTGTAGTTTGGCAACACATGGTATGCACCACCCGGCCGATGACAGTAAAGTTTTATGCTAATCCCAGGGAAACAGCTACTGCAATTCGATCCTTCAAGCGTTATACTACTCGGAATCTTTCCGAGAGAATGTCGTGAACTACCCGCCTTCGAATAACACGTCAGAAGGCAATACGAGCAAGGTCAAAGTCTCGATACGGCCACCGGTACAAGTCAACGGAAATGCGGCGACGCCCGGCAAGCAAATGCCCAAACCGCGGCAAGGGTTCACTCCTGGACCAATACCGATGCCAATAACGCAACCGATACGACCCGAAGACAGGCCTGATGCCCCAGAATACAAGAAAAAGCAGGCCATGATCAAAGGACCCGTGTTGGAGTTGGCCCAGGAAAATCCAGATGCGTACGGCATGGAGGAATGCACGTTCACCGGGCTCAAGGATATTTTTACTGCTCTGATTCAAAGCAACTCCAGGACCGGTGTCATCAGCCCACAGCGCTTTCTGGATATCTTCAAGCGCGACAATGAAATGTTTCGCAATTCTATGCACCAAGACGCACACGAATTTTACGGCCTTGTATTGAACGATGTTATCTCGAATGTGGAGGCGTACGCTAGGCGTATGCAGGAGAGCAGGAAGGAGATTGGAACGACATCGTCTCCATTGAACCAACAATCGTCATCTCCAAGCCTTACGAGGAGCGTGATGGCATCCAACCTCAGGACGCCGGAGACAAGCTGGGTGCACGACATTTTTGAAGGCGTCCTAGTTTCCGAAACCAGATGCTTGACTTGCGAGACGGTGTCACAACGAGACGAAACGTTTTTGGATCTCTCAATCGATCTGGAAGAGCATTCTTCGGTAACGTCATGCCTACGGAAATTCTCCGCAGAGGAGATGCTTTGCGAGAGGAACAAGTTTCACTGCGATCGTTGTGGCGGCTTGCAAGAGGCTGAGAAGAGGATGAAGATTAAGAAGCTACCAAAGGTTTTGGCGTTGCATCTGAAGAGGTTCAAGTATACCGAGGACTACAGCCGACTACAAAAGCTGTTTCATCGTGTCGTCTACCCATATTATCTTCGCATGTTCAATACGACGGATGATGCTGAAGACCCGGACAGGATTTACGAGTTATACGCAGTCATTGTCCATATTGGAGGTAATGCCTACCACGGACACTACGTGTCAATTATCAAAACCAAGGATCGGGGCTGGGTTTTGTTCGATGACGAAATGGTCGAGCCCGTTGACAAGAATTTCGTGGCGAACTTCTTTGGTGACAAGCCAGGCATGGCTTGCGCCTACGTACTATTCTACCAGGAAGTCACCTTTGAGAAGATGAGGGAAGAGTTGGATGCCGAAGGACTAGAAGAGATGAGGCTAGCCACCCAAGCAGCCGACCTAGCAGCCGGTGCGGAACAAACGAACGGGACCGGAAATGACTCCTTAACAAAGGTCAACAGTCAGCCGACAGTACCAGTGGAAGATCTTGACCCATCGGTAAGCCTTGCTCACGCCCAAACAGCTCCAGGCGGAATTGCCAGTATCTTACAATCTTCAACGCCGACCCAGACCCCCGGACCCGAGCCTTTCTCCCATCCTCTAGCTGCGGCACCACCTCCGGCCCCTGCCGTCATAACGAAGGCGGACGAGGCAGCCACGGTCCCGCCCAAATCCAAGGATGAACTTGCCAAGGAGAAAAAGGAACAGAAAGCCCAAGAGAAAGCACAGGAAAAGGCCCGAAAAGCCGCCGAGAAAGAGGCAGCAAGGCTCGCAGAAAAGGAGCGTCTTGAGAAGGTTGCAAAGAAGCGCGGAGTACAGCAAAAAGAGCAGGAGCAGCTGGCAAAGGTCATGCGCGAGAGCAAACAGCTGGCAGCCGAGGAAGAAAAGAGGCGCAAGAAGGAGGCGGCAGCCGCTGAAGCAGGCACTAAGAGTGGCCCCAGCAGTCCCAGGCTGTTCAATCGCGCCGGCCTGGGTGGCAAGTCTCTCTCACGCAAGAGCTTTGCTTTTCTGGGAAAGACCGGCGGTGGTGGTGGTGGTGGTGGTGGTGGCGGTGGCAGCGACAAGTCCGAGAAAAGCAGCGACAAAGACAAGAGTGACAGGGCGGAAAGCAGCAGTACAGAGCAGAGGAGCAACGAAAGTATGACCAGCAACGGCGTGGCTGAAAGCAACGCGAGTAGCCGCGCGACTACTGGTGATGTTCATGGTGGCAACGGCTTTGGCGGATTCTCGTCGTCGTCGTCGTCGTCGCCGTTATCGCCCACGTCACGAGGACCGAACGGCATTTATTCCCATAATCACCACCTGTCGAGCTCGCCAATGAGAACCATGACGACGCCAGAGGGTATCAAGAGGGACGTGCGAGCGTCTAGGTCGGCCTCGACGTCCTCCATACTCGGCCCGCCCCCTACGGCTCCGGAGAGGTTCGAGAAGCCGCCGCTGCGAGACCGGTTCAGCTTCAGCATGGGGAGGAAGAAGAGTTCACGGTTCCTATCGTAGTGCGATAGGCCTTTTGGATGTTTATCTGGTAGTGGGGTTGGTGGTCTGGAGGCGGTAGAGGAGTGCTCCAATTGTAGTACGAAAAGTCGAGAAAGCATAGGGAGTAGATGTAGTGTAGAGGGGTGAACTAAGGGGAAAGGGGAGAGGGGGGAGTATTGGCGTCTAGGAGCGCTACTTCTGGAAGTTGTTGGTGCAAAACCTGCATTGCATGGTCGAGGTGTGCGAGGAGTTGTTGAAACCCGCCGCGCCCTTATTGATTCTTTTCTGGCCGGCGGTGGTGGGTGGTGTGAACTTGCAAGTTTAGGGGAGCGGAAATAAACAAAAGTAGACCAAGCAAAGTTGTTGAAAATGAAACGAACAAAGGTTCGCTGAACCTGTGAACACTTCCGGGTCAGTCAACTGTACTGTGGTACAGTACAACTAACCGCAGCTGGGGAATCATGTTACCGGACGGTTAGAAGCAAGAACCCTTTTTATGGCACTCAGGTACACTGGCGGGAAATCTGTTAGAGGCGGTAGTAGATCGTTGTACAAACTGAAGAATGTGCTTCACTAACAGAGGTACATCCGGTCCTGCTGCGAACCTTCACTCCTTCCTCGTAGAGAGTGAGTGATGGACTGGACTGAACTGAATTGTCCAGTCTTTCAAGCCCTCGCTCCGTCCAGTTAGTTCGTTCAGGAAAGAACATAGGGTACCTACGTACCTCTATGGAGGTGTAGTCCACTGCCGTGCCGACTGCAGTGAGCCATCAACAGTTCAGTTAGTTGCCGCCGTCTCAAAGCAGAAGGTACTACCTTAGCCATCTGAATGTGTAGACCAACTAAATAGGTAAGTAGAGTTCGGCAGGTACAGAACCATACAGTCTTCAGTTGGTATTCTGCTTCTTGAGTTGCGACTGCAGTCGGTTTGTATTCTGTAACCCACAAAGCCAGACTGAACCAGGGTAAGTACTGAGATGAAATGTCTACCTTATTTGTACTCCTACTACACCCACATTCACCGAAAAGCCAAGTAATTATCACAGGCACTGACTTTGATTCTACACTACTTCGCAATTCTCATCAAGGGATTTCACACAACCGCCTCTTCCCTGTCTGAAAGTTTGCAGCCATTAGTCGCCCATCAGACCCAAGCGGTGATGTCAACTTTACATTAATTCTTAATCATTCCGATGCGTTATCACCCTTCTTTCTTTCTTTCTCTTCTTGTCAGCCCACAACTGAGGCCGTGTAGTCCGAACCATGTGACTAAACCCGTCTTCCAAATGTATTTTTCGTATGCTTTGCTTTGCTTCCTGTTCCAGTCCTTTCTTGATGCCTGATTCGCTCGATGACCATCCTCAACCTTCCTATTCCCCTGCACCATCCTGTTATGCATCTCTCTCTATTTTTCTGTCTTCAATTCGACACCCAGCTTCCTTCTCTTCGTTGGTGCGATGTTCGACTGAAGGATCCTTGCTTAGCCAAGCACCAGCTCGTATATTATTATCAATGTGTTGACCAAAATCAGGAGGGCTACATGGCAGAGAAGAAGTTAGCAAGGGGTTTCAGGTGTACAAATAAAAAATATCCCGGGTGCATATGTAGGTATATACGTACGCCTCATCAACGTCCGTACGCTCGCAATCAGGTTCATGATCTTGGCTTGGACGGAGGCATCTGCGCTTTGGCCGAAGGCTGGGTCGTAGGAGGAGGGAGAGAAGTTGACTGTTCAGAGAGAGAGAGAATAGGTTAGCTGTGATCGGTTTTGCTTGTGCGCTTATGCGCTTGCTTGACTGCTGTTCTGCTGTTGAGTGTGGTTTGTGATAGATGGATAGGGGTCGTGGTGGATGTGGTGGTTCCTCCTCCTCCTTCTCTGCCAGTCCCGGTGTGCGCTGGGACAACATGAACCGAGCAGTCGATGTATTCCTACTCGCTGGCTCATCTGTCCTTCCTTCCATCCGTATCTCTGCTAGCTGGCTGATGACCCAGTCCATCGAATCCAGCGCAGTTAAATCCAGACAAACCGAACAAGGACAGCTGAAAACCGCCCTCCCCTCCCCATCCAATTACCCATCCCATCCCCATCACCCACACCACAGCAAACATCACCATAAACCGCCCACCTCCCACGAATTCCACACACCGTCCATCTCCCAGAGAAGGAGGTCCATCGGATATTCCAAGCAGCACGAGAACAGCGCAACAAAGCCAAGCGACGAGGCAAGGGGACACAGGACATCACCTACTCCTGGCAAGAAACCTATCCTCAGAGAGGATGGCAATAGCGTTGATCAATAGGCAGGAGACATAGATAAGATTTCCGAAGATCAACATCTTGACGAATGGCGCTGGGGCGCGGCGTCGTCGTCGTCGTTTGGTCGCTGATCGGTCGGTTTGGGAATAGGGTGCGGGAGGAGTTTCTCGTTGTGTCGCGCGCGCGCGCAGTCGGTCAGTCGCCCGGCTTTGGGCTATTTCGAAGCGACGGAAAGGTGGCCGGGTATTTCGATCGAGAATGGAATCAACGGAAGTCCAATCCGCTGGACCTTGAAACCGTCGATTGGCGAGCACTACAAGCGAAGAGGTATGATCTTCAACCTCTCTCTCTCTCTCGCGTTCGTGGTCTCAGTGTCGCTCGTTTGTTGGTTTGTTGGTCGGTCGGTAGTGGTGTAGCTGTGTGTAGTGAGGTGCAAGTCGGGTGTGGGCAGACGTGCCGTGGCGCCTATACCGCGACAAGGAGTGACGGACAGGGTGCTTCCAGTTCGACGACGGTGCTTCAGTTGGTTGCAGGCGGGCAACGGAACACTAAAGCTGTCATGTCATTGTGGAGATTCCAAGTACCATCAACACGAAGCTTAGGTTCCCGGCAGGCAAGCGGAGATACGTAGGTACCTACCTCTACCTTCCCTTGATTCTGTGGCCAATCAGAGGAGGGTCTAGGCTGGTGTAAGCCCCTATTCGTGACATCGGATGGGAGCAATGAGCATGGCTACGAGACAAGGCTCACTCGAGTACCTACAGCAAGAACATTGCCATCACGGCACAACCATCATCAAGCCTCGCTTTTTCAAATCAGCCCAGGCAATGTTCACGACCCTACATCATTATTCGACGTGAAAATATCTCTTCCCATTCTTCCTCTCACTAACACAATCTCTTAATCTCTCTCCCATACACTACTTTAACAATAACCTAACAGTAGCCTTCCTCTTCCATTCCCAGTTTCCTTCCTCAACATTTAACCCTTTCTTGACCAATGTGATTAGAGTAAAGAGAAAAGAACAGATCCTCCCAAGTCCAATCCCACCAACTGACTGCGACTGGACCGATAGGAAAAACATATTGTACAAATTCAGTTTGGAACACGCAGAACGCCTGCAACATATGTGCAAGGTTCTTGTCCATTTACTCAAACTGACAGAAAAGAGGAACAAAACAAATTAAGCCAGTGAGAATGGGAGGACAGCCAAGCAACTTGCACGTAACACCGTCGTCCCTCCCCATCCGACCTTCCTCCTTTTCCAATTTCAACTTGACACTTCACATCACCTCATCACAACCCTTGACAACGATAGCAATAACAGGAGGCAAAGGCAAATAATCACACACTGAAGGCGATGGAATCGTACACAAACAATGTATGAAGAGGATGACTGGGTATTTACGCTAGTAACAGTAGAGACGAATAACAAGAAAGATAGGTCGAACTGAGCGTTGGGAACGTTAACAAACCCTATCCGATCCTAACCTAGCCCATCCTAATCCAAGCCTTTATGAGTACAGTTTGAAAGAAAAGGAACACTGATGATAACAGAGTTCAACACCAAGTGCACGTTGCCTGCCTATTGTTTGTCTCCCGTCCCAGCGAGAGTCATAAGAGATGCAGCCTGATCAGATCCAACTAGCCGTGCTTGATGATAATAGGGTCGCCAAATTTGGATGATGAAAAACAGGTGGCTGTGACCAGGGCTGTGTTGTGATTATGCTATGTAGGTAGGTTGTAAGATGTAGTCGAGGAGCGTTTTTATTTTTATTTTGCCTTCTTCGTATCCAAGTACCGGGCGGATGATGCGATTGATTATTCTTGCTCTGTATCACTTCCATCCAGCGTGTCAACGTCACCGCTTGAGTTGTTGTCTGTGGCATCATCGATGTCAGCTTGGTCCAAAGACCCGTATTTGGCCTTGTACCGCGCGAGCTCGTCCATTTGTTCCTTCAGAGTGCTGAGAACATCGTTCATCGGCGCCCGAAGATCATTCAGCTTGGTAATTGGTCCGCTGCCGATTGCTATGTGGCGAACAGCGAGCGAAGTGATGCATGTCTGTAAATGGAAACTTTAGTCTCTTGATTCGTCGCACAAAGGGTTTTGCTTGGGCTCAACATACCTCGATTCGGCTGATTTGATGTTCCATGAAGTTTAAAAGAAAGTGGTCCGTAACCTCTCCAGCCCTTTGCTTCATACGCTCCAATAGCTCGGTCTCCGGTGCCTGAAGTCCGCGGGCGTTAGGCTCCTCGAGCGTGCTGCACAACATTTCAAGGCGCAGCGCAACACGCCACAACGCCCAGATCGTCTCCGGCTCGAACTGTATCTCGCTGTCGGGATCCATAGTCGCCGGCTTAGGCGTTGTAAGAGCGCCATAGGGCTGCAATGCGGCCGGGTTCTGCGTGCTTTCTGTATGGGCATGGTGTTGTTCCGTTCTGCCCACAAGCGCGTGAGGGTATACCGAGTATACGAGTTCAGGGTTCTCAAGGCCCTTGAGCTTCTTCTCGCCCATGTCCTTGACTTCGAACCCTTGACTGCTCAATGCCCGTAGCTCAGCTCGGATGGCCCTTGCAGTAGCATCGTCCTCCAAAGAGTCCTCGTCAACATCAACCGACTCCTTGTAGGTCTCAAGGCATCGATGAATCTCCGTAATGAAATCTGACGATGCGGTAATCTGCCCTCCGTCAGCGACAGCGGAGATACGACTAGCCTTGTTGACCATGGGTCCATAATAGTCCATTCGTCTTGTGACCGGATCTCGCTCAGCTAGGGGCTCACCCCAATGAGCACCCATCCGAACTGAGAGACCTCTGGTGATGAGATTATTGTTTCGGTCATAAATGGGCTGGCAGCTGCTGTTACTCAGTACTTCAGGGGGCCAATCCACTGTTAGCAGTTTCATTTGCACGGCAAAGCACCACAACAAGGCAGACGTGGCCGTGGGGAAAGAAACCATAAATGCGTCTCCTTCCGTCTTGACTTCGAAACCACCAATCATCCTGAGCTGTCGCCGCATCACCTCATTGTGAAGCTTGATCGCCAACCTCATGGCTTCGGGATAGTTTTCCCATAATTGCGTGGAGTTTTTGATGTCGGTGAACACGATGGACAGCTGTCCTGTTGGAGGCGGGACTTCCGCGTTAAGGCGCGCGAGATTAGAGTCCAGGGGTCCTTCAGCCCTCACCTTCCTCCTCTTGATCCCGCTCGGCGGCACATGACCAGGATCATCTTGCGGCATCGAGAAAGTAGCATTGAGCTGTCCCTTGAATTGCTGCGCTTGTCGTTGCTTTAGGTTTGCAACGCCAATCATCATGATCAAGAGCTTGTTGGTTGACCCATAGGCTATCGCGAGGTCGCGAAGCTTCTGAGATGCCTTCATCAAATCGCTGCGACACTCACGCGCCACATCCACGATGAGCTCTGGCCGAAGATGCTCCCATAACTCTTTGCTGGCAATGAGCACTGTCTCATCTTTGTCGTCAATGGTGTGCTCGGTGATGTCGGGCGCTGCCTGCACTGCTGGTAATAGCTCAGTATAACCAAACGCACGAGACACATTGAGGACATCGTTTAATCGTCCGTTGCGCGAAACCCAGCCTCCAGCATTTCGAATGCGACTGCGCTCAACGGGGTCCGCCGGGTCATGCTTTTTGGTTAGCATCTTGAAGGAACCGTTGGCTTGGATGAGCATGCCTTGAACATCGCCAACGTTGGCGACGTAGAGCTTCAGCTCGCTCAAATAAGCAACGGTAGCTACGCAGCCCGAATTAAGGTCTTCCTTGGTCAGGACCGTATGGGCGTAATTCCTGCTAGGGTGCGAGTCAAGCCCCCTTTCGTCTGCGCTGTTAGAGAGGCTCATGAGAAGCTTGTTGACCGACAAGAAAGTACGCCTCAGGGCATCCGCCGGATTCTCGTTCAGCTTCCCCTTGACCTTCTCAAGCTCCAGTATGAACAGTCTGCTAAACTCTTCATAGAGAAATTTGGCAATCTTCGAACCACCAGTGCTGAGCTCCTTGCCATCAAACAAGGCCACGAGCGTATCGGTTTCCACAGAACCCAAGCGAGGTACGACAAGGTCGAAAAGAGACAAGTGCTCGTTTTTGCCCAGCGTGTCCGCCATACCGTACGGTAGATACGCACCGGCCTTCATTTCGGAGGTTCTGACACGGCGGTCTTCCGTTTGGTCAGGGATGTTGGGTAAAGTATGAGTTACTTCCATCAACCCAAGCACACGAAGATTCGTCAGCTTCGAAAAGTCGGTGTCAGCAAAATCATCGTCTCTACAGCTTTGTGGCTGACGATAATTGTTCTTGATCTCCAATCGCTTGTTGCCAGAAAGGTTCAAGTACCGCAAATCGCGGTTGAAATTCCAATTCCAATCGTAGGGCACGTTGGTGACGTTGTACTTCAGATTATTGCTACTACAATCCAGAACCTGAAGTTTCTTGGCCCTCGATATTTCTGCGGGTAGGTTGATAAACTTGTTGCCGTTGATGTGAAGAGTCTGTAAGAGGCAGTGCTCCTCTAGGAAGTCCTCTGCAGGTAAACTAGTAAGTTCGTTGCCAGAAAGGTACAGCTCCACGAGCTGAGGCCAGGACCTGATCGTTCCTTGGGGCATGTCGCTCAAATCGTTGCAGGAAAGGTTGAGTACTCGAAGTTCAGGGAGGTGCTTGAGCTCCTCGAAGACGTCGTCATCTAGCTGGTTGTCCGCAAGATAGAGGTTCTTCAGAGATCCCGAAAACGTGTGGGTGAATCGGTAAGACAGACTGGAGTCTTTCCTAGGGCCGTTACTCGGGGTTATTACTCCAGTGCTGCTCTGTGTCGTACTTCGTGATACGACGGACGTCTTGCGCCCTCCTTTCCCATACAGCGACACCATGGAGCTCTTCCTATTGTCTGGTCCTGATGGCACGGGTGACACAGCAACGCCGAGGAGTGTACTAGAAGCCTGGCTAGGGCGTCGCGACGCATCCCCATTAAGGTCGTCCATACTAGGTGTCCGCGAAAGGAGTCCGTTCTTGTTGCCGTTCGGGAAGGGATATGCACCTGGAGATGGGCTAGCTTCTCCTGGCGCTTGTGGCGCACGCGAGGCAGGCTTGGGGAACTCTGTCAAGATGTTGGAAGATGCATTG